ATTCAAGTAATTAAGGTTATGTTAATGCGGTAAATTACCTTAATGCCATATGGTTAAGTTGATTAAAGTTAATGAAAACATTGTACTGACTTATCAGACTTCAGATTGATCTTCCGGCGCTGACTGGTCAATGGTTGGCCACTGGGGCGTGGATTAATGGACTGACAGCAATATAAATACATGGAGTGATAAACGAGAGCTTTACCGAACAGGTTCAATCAGCAGTCATGAGGTCTTTGGTGTTCCTGGTGCTCCTTGGAGCTGCCTGTGAGAAGAAACTCCATTCACTAATAATAAAATGATATATAATATTCAAAAAGGTGATCATGTATTAATGATTCTTTCACATTTGATGCAGTTGCTCTGGATGATGACAAGATTGTTGGTGGATATGAGTGTCAGCCTAATTCCCAGCCCTGGCAGGCATCTCTGAACTCTGGCTACCACTTCTGCGGTGGCTCTCTGGTCAGCGAATACTGGGTTGTGTCTGCTGCTCACTGCTACAAGTCGTAAGTAAAGTCTTCATTAACAAGTTTGTATACAGTATCTGAGTCTCTACAGCTCTGACCATCTTCTGATTTGGTCTTTCAGACGTGTGGAGGTCCGTTTGGGCGAACACAACATCGTCATTAATGAGGGTACTGAGCAGTTCATCACCTCCGAGAAGGTCATCCGCAACCCCAACTATGACTCGTGGGATCTTGACAGTGACATCATGCTGATCAAGCTGAGCAAGCCTGCCACCCTCAACAAGTATGTGCAGCCTGTGGCCCTGCCCAACGGCTGTGCTGCTGACGGCACCATGTGCAGAGTCTCTGGCTGGGGAAACACCATGAGCTCCAGTGAGTGACAGGCTTTATGATATTACTTTCTGCAGACATCGTGATCATAGCACTACAGTTTACTGCATTGGGTTCTTTTCTTTGTAGCTGCTGATTCCAACAAGCTTCAGTGTTTGGAGATCCCCATCCTGTCTGACCGCGACTGTAACAACTCCTACCCCGGCATGATTACCGACACCATGTTCTGCGCTGGATACCTGGAGGGAGGAAAAGACTCTTGTCAGGTAAAGAACAGCATGAAATGCTGCTGAAATACAAATATCAACTGAGCTTTTGGTAATAAACAAGTGTTATGTTTGTCCTGCTCAGGGTGACTCTGGTGGTCCAGTGGTGTGCAACGGTGAGCTTCATGGTATTGTGTCCTGGGGTTATGGCTGTGCTGAGAAGAATCATCCTGGTGTTTACGGCAAGGTAATGCAGATTATTAGTAGTTAAAAAAAACTAATAATGCTGTAAGATAAAACATTTGATTTATGAATCATGATTTCTTTTCTTCAAGGTCTGCATGTTCAGCCAGTGGATCGCCGACACCATGAGAAACAACTAAATCTGATCTGAAGTCACATACAGCCTCCAAATATGCAATACATCCATTTTCTTTGTTTTGGAGATAACACTTGTGAAAATAAAGTCATTTCAAAATATTTTGCTTTATTCATGTTTTTCAGTTACAGTAACACTTTTAAATACTTTAACAGGCCTACATTACTTTAAAAAACTCATAAACACACAACAAAGTGTTACAAATCTGTCATGAAGCAAATATTACAGCTTCAGTTTAAGTTTGTAATATTTTTAAAAAAGAACATCAATGAATAATCATGAAATCATTTGGTGTCATTGGGAAAATGAAATACTAAAAATTAAGTTCCTAGTAAGTTCTCTGTCATCAGTTGTCATTTGAAAAAAAATGGGGAAAATGCTACATCATACAAAATAATATTTACATTTTAAGGCACTTAAAGCCATGACCACACACAGAGAAAAGTTCAAGTAGCAATTTAGAAGAGAAGGGTTCTGGATGCAGACCTGGTGCAGATGCAATCTGAGCTGCATGCAATGATTTTTAATGTGTTCATCTAACCCCACCTCTAACCCTACTCGTCACAGTGACGTCACTAGCTCCATTGAGTGCATTGTGTCTGACATTGCATCTTTGAAAAACGCAATCTCAGCTTGCATTTTAAAGGCTGCATCCAGATACTATTGATTCAGAAAGCAGTCTTACCAGGGCCAAGCATCTCTGCAAATTCAGAGAAAATAATCCAATCCATGGGTTTTTATTTACAGTGGCTAGATTGACAAACAAACATCACCAGAACTGAATATTCCAACACAGTTTAGTTGTAAAACAGTTGATGAATTTCTACCTAAGAAAAATGAAAGCATACAATTATGTACAGTTAGAAATATAAACCTTTTCACAGCGTCTTATGATTCAGCTCCAATTATCACCACTACGTAATTATTGCAGAACGTCACAGCTCAAGGACAGGAAAAGCTGAATTAGCAGCACTGCTTCTACATCAACAACATGTTTAATAGATCCCACACCCACTACTTTACTGAAAGAGCGAATACCTATTCTTGATATTTTTTCTAGGTCATGTCTCAAGATTCTTCAAGTCTGGTAGTTATTTTAAAGCTTCCTTTTATGTTTAACTTTTCCCAAAAGTCACAGACTTCTAATAGTTCTCTTCCTCACAAAATATTAAGAAATTCTGCAAAGGTACATGACACAATGACAAATGACCTCCATTTGTCCACTGCTGCATCTCACTATAGTCTAGTTTTACTGTAGTTGATCTTATTGCTGAATTCAACATTACAGATAAATGACACTCAGGGGTGGATGACAAAGTGTACTGGATTTCATGGACAGGCATTAGAAGGGTTTTAATCTTACTGTACATCATTGTTACCATTTAAACAGGGAATTCTAGAAGTTAATTTCATTCATTACTTTTCAGCTTAGTCCCTTTATTAATCAGGGGTCGCCACATCGGAATGAATCGCCAACTTATCCAGCTTATGTTTCAAATAGCAGATGCCCTTCCAGCCGCAACCCAACACTGGGAAACACCCATTCTTGCATTCACACACATACACTACAGCCAATTTAGCTTATTCAATTTACCTATATAGCATGTCTTTGGACTGTGGGTGAAATCGGAGCACTGGGAGGAAACCCACACTGACATTGGGAGAACATGCAAAATCCACACAGAAATGACAACTGATCCAGCCAGGGCTTGAATCAGCAACCTTCTTGCTGTGAGGCGATCATGCTACACACTGTGCCACCATGACGCCCAATTGTAGAAGTTAACTTCAGTAAAAAAGGGATTGCTGCAGTGCTTTGTCTTAGGCCCTCTGCTAATAATAAAGTCCACTAAAGTATATTCATATACAGGTACTTAGCCCTACTCTGGAATAGCCTTCCTTAATGTTCAGAGTTAAGACACACTCTTCGAATTTAGATTTTTAAATATATGTGTTTAGCCAAGCATTGAAACAATGCATAACTTTACCTTTTAATGCAGTTATATAATAACCAAATGTTTATCATGCTTGCAATCAGATGATTTGCTGCTACTCTAATTATTCACATTAATTGTTTGTGGTTAAATGTAATTAACTGTGTGATTTATATTATCTCAGAACTGTACCTTTCTGCCATGTGGACATTGCTCTGACACAGTATATACAGTATGTACAAGTACAGGCGCAAACACACATGTGAGAATATGGACAGCTGCTGGTATTTTTTTTTTCGGTGTGGAACCTGCTGTCAAGGTTGCAGTCTAAAATGAACATATTCAATAGCACAGCTGCTGCATTTCCCTGCTTGTTCTGGAAAACTGCATATTGTTTAATTTACTGATTTAATCTAAAAATGTAATACTATGGTCTACTTTGATCCTCAGATTATCAGTACCTATTTATTGCAGGTGGATTTTTACTGTTAGGGCAAAGCAAGTCTCCAAATCTGCAACACATCACTTTTTCTTTGGTTTGTTGCTTCAATGAAAATGTAAGCAAATGCATGCATAAATAAATGTACAATGCTTTTAGCATAACATTACTTACCAAAGCAACACAAAAATGTTAGTGGATTTTACTACAAAATTTTACTGCTTTTAAATTAACTGTAAAATATAAGAAAAAAGTAGATATTGTAGAAACAAGTTATTATAGTAAACCTTTTGGCAATTTCTGAAAAAGGGAAACAGTTCAAGACATTGACTATGATGACAAATGTAGGAGCAACTAAATCTCTTCATTGCCCTTATTAAAACAAATTTTCACGGCTTGCTTAAAAATGCATTTTATGCTCTTCATTGATTCTCATTATATTATTATTTCTTTTTTATTGCAGGTGGATTTTCAATGGTAGACTATGGAAGCTTTGGCTTTATGTTTTGAAAAATGTATAACAAAATGTTCACTTTTTAGAAATACACTATACCGGTCAAATGTTTTGGGTCAGTGGGATTTTTAAATGTTTTAAAATAAGCTTCTCCTGCTTACCAAGGCTGTATTTATTTAATTAAAAATACAGTATAAATTGTAAAGTTGTGAAATGTTGTTGCTCTATAAAATAACTTTCCAAACGTAGTTTATAATTTAACTTAATAATTTATTCCAGTGATTTTAAAGATGAATTTTCAGCTTCATTACTACAGTCTTCAGAGTCGCATGATCCTTTAGAAATCACTTTAATTTGAATCATTATTATTATTAGTGGTAATAGAAGCAATAATGACTGGAGTAATCATTTCATTTGAAACTACATACAATAAGAAAGTAGTTTTTTTAAATTGTAATAAACATTGAACAATTTAACATTTTTTTGCATTTAATAAATTTTGCCTTGATGAACAAAATAATTTTCTTTAAAAAATACATGAAAAAAGCCCCTAAACTTTTGACCAGTAGAGTAAATTAAGCAACAATTAAATACAATATATCTTAATCCATATTGTAAATCTAAGCTGATATTAAAGTAATCAGGACATAATAATGTACCTTTTCAGAGAAACACAATGAAAGCAGAAACTTATCAGACTTCAGATACACCTTTGCAGCTTATTGGTCAATGACAAGCCACAGGGGCGTGGATCAATAGGCTGACAGTCTTATATATACGCAAAATGAGATGCGAGTCTATCAACGAACAGGTTCAATCAGCAGTCATGAGGTCTTTGGTGTTCCTGGTGCTCCTTGGAGCTGCCTGTGAGTAGCAACTCATTCATCAATTCACAACAAATACAAATTTCACTCGACTCATTTTGCAGGTAATTGTAGTTTGTATACTAATTATACTTTCACATTTGATGCAGTTGCTCTGGATGATGACAAGATTGTTGGTGGATATGAGTGCCAGCCTAATTCCCAGCCCTGGCAGGCGTCTCTGAACTCTGGCTACCACTTCTGCGGTGGCTCTCTGGTCAGCGAATACTGGGTTGTGTCTGCTGCTCACTGCTACAAGTCGTAAGTAAAGTCTTCATTAACAAGTTTGTACAGTATCTGAGTCTCTACAGCTCTGACCATTTTCTGATTTGGTCTGTCAGACGTTTGGAGGTCCGTTTGGGCGAGCACAACATCGTCATTAATGAGGGTACTGAGCAGTTCATCACCTCCGAGAAGGTCATCCGCAACCCCAACTATGACTCCTGGACCATTGACAGTGACATCATGCTGATCAAGCTGAGCAAGCCTGCCACCCTCAACAAGTATGTGCAGCCTGTGGCCCTGCCCAACGGCTGTGCTGCTGACGGCACCATGTGCAGAGTCTCTGGCTGGGGAAACACCATGAGCTCCAGTAAGTGACAGGCTTTATGATGTTACTTTCTGCAGACATCGTGATCATAGCACTACAGTTTACTGCATTGAATTATTTTCTTTGTAGCTGCTGATTCCAACAAGCTTCAGTGTCTGGAGATCCCCATCCTTTCTGACCGCGACTGTAAAAACTCCTACCCCGGCATGATTACCGACACAATGTTCTGCGCTGGATACCTGGAGGGAGGAAAAGACTCTTGCCAGGTAAAGAACAGCATGAAATGCTGCTGAAATACAAATATCAACTGAGCTTTTAGTAATAAGCAGCTGTTATGTTTGTCCTGCTCAGGGTGACTCTGGTGGTCCAGTGGTGTGCAACGGTGAGCTTCAGGGTATTGTGTCCTGGGGTTACGGCTGCGCTCAGAAGGATAATCCTGGTGTTTACGGCAAGGTAAGGCAGTAGTAGATGTTAACAACTTTTACAAAACATAATGTTTTATATAATATGAAGAAGTTATATGACTTTTATGAATTCTCTTTTCTTCAAGGTCTGTATGTTCAGCCAGTGGATCGCTGACACCATGAGAAACAACTAAAACCGATTCTTGATCACATACAGCTTTATAGATCTGCAATTCATCTGCAATGTCTGTCTTTGGTTTGTAGATAAAAACCTGTGTAAAAATAAAAACTTTCAAAAACATCCTTCTTTCTCCAAGTGCATCAATCCAGTTCATTAGGTAGTACCGTGAGGCTCAGTACTTGTACCACTACTTTTCAGCCTGTACTTGATAACCCTGGGAGATATTATTAGAAAACATAACGATAGTTTTCACATTTATGCTGATGATTCAGTTAACATAACTCACATAATGCATAGCTGCTATAAAAGACTGGATGGTTAGTGACTCATTACAGTTAAATTAACCAAAAAGCAGAGGTTTCAATTATTCATTCAAAATCTTTCTTGTGGAAAATCCAGATGACAAATGTTCCCATTGCTGAACCTGACTTGTCCTAGGGTTTTATTTTTCTGCATTTCTGTCAGCTGTTGTAGTTTGTGTTCAGTGCCACTGTTCGAGTACATTCCACTTTGCTGGGGTCAGTATAGTTGCCATACTGTTGAATCACGTCCTACACTGACACTGGCATTGAACTGAACTGAATCAACATTGACCTCATCTAAAAAAAAAAAAAAAAGAAAAAAAAACATTACAGTTTTTTGTGATTAGTTTAAATTGAACTTCACACTACTAATAATAAAGCTAATATTAAATCTGCTATTTGACCAGTTTTTCAATCTGGGTGCATTTACATTACATAGTATATGTAGCCTATTCTATTTTGAACCTACTTAATAAGCTGGTTCCTCTCTCTTCTATATGCTTCACACTTTATTAACATATGCTCAACTGTTTCTGTTTTTCTGCAATGACTGCTGCAATAGCATTTTCCTTTCATGTGCAGCAAACTCATTAGATAAAAGTGAACTATACGGAGCCTAGTGTCTTCCTTCCTGTTCCCATAATGTCCTTTCTTTCCCCACTTTATGTTGGATGTTATAGAGATGTCTTCCCCTTAATTCTGAATACCGGTCCTCTTGCCAAAGATTGATAATTATTAATAATATATTTTATTTCAGTTTACTTAGTGGGATCTCTATTTCCACCTACTCTTTTCCCAATGCTTTTTTTTTTTTTTTCTAACTTATCGTCCTCTTCATTCCATTTTATTTTTACATGGGCAGGAATCCATTAAAAAATCTACCCTTATTCCCCTGTGATTTGTTTCATAAATGTTCTGTAAGATGTCATATAGTATTTCCTGTCTTTATGAAGTCCTGCTATTTAGACCATTTAAGGCTGAATATGAATCAGAGCATACCACCACACTTATGGGCCGATTTTCCTTTACCCACTGCATACCCATTAAAACTGTCATCATTTCTGTTTTGAACACTGATATAACTGCATATATTATTGCTTAACCTCTTTGAAACACTATGTTTATGATTTGGAATGTAGCTGCTTCTGTATACCATGTGTCTGTGTTTTTAGACCCATCATCTGTATTTGATTAAAATATTTTAGTTTCAAGTATTGTTTTACTAGTTCCTCTTTAGACATACACCTGCTCTAATCATTGATTTTACTATGAAACTCAGCTAGTGGCATTTGAAACAATCAAGTTGGTATTACTAATGTAGGTCCTATTTTTATATGATCTATTCCTAGTTTCCTGACATCCAATTCTCCATTCCACCCTAAGCTCCTGTTCTTGATATATTCCCAACATTTGTTAAATACTGCTTTTACTGGATGAGTATCCGCAAGCCCTTTTACAGAGCTCCAATATGCCATTTTTAACTTGAGCTTCCTATACTTTAATGTCAGCTCTGTCATTTCCACCTGAATCAATGAAACGGGCGATGTTCGAAATGCCCCACTTCCTACCCTTAATGCTTGTGATTGAATAACACATTTTTTTTTTTTTTTTTTGTAACAGAGATGTAGATGCTGAACTGTAAACTATACTGCCGTAATCTAAAACTGGCCTTATCAAAGCACAATATACTCTTTGCAATGCATGTTGGGTTGCTCCCCACTCTACTCCTGCCAAACATCTTAGAATATCTATTGCTTTTTTGCATTTATCTTGAATTTTAAGAAGTTAAGCTAACTATAACCTAATGGCTGCACACCAATGTGTTTTAGTTTTTTTTTTTTTTTTTACTTTTAAAATTTTACGCTTTCATTTTTAGGTTATGGTTTTAAAAATATTATTATCCCAGATATAGTAAAAAAAAAAAAAAGTTATCATAAGCGTGAAATTACCATCTGTGTTTTTGGCAATATTCAAATGCGGAACCATTCTCAAATCTTGTTTTTCATTCCGGACCCGTCAGACTGTCGCACACGCCTTTCAGTGCTGCTTGCTGTCACCTGAAAGATCATCTTATTTTCTACATGAAGTAAAACAGCGTGTTTATTTCAAGTGGATGCAAATGATGAACATATCAGTACTCTTTTGAGTTTGACTTATTTATCCAGAATATATAGCTTTGTGTGATAGAGGGCTTTTATTTTCGGAACTGGTGTCCTTCATCGCATCTTGAAATGCGGCTCACGCTCCGGGCGTTGATTTCTCATGGCCGAGTGGCCCGTAAAATGGGACTCGGACCGGAGTCCAGAATTAACATTCTGCGAAATTTACTGACTGGTCTTGTGCGACATGAGAGGATAGAGACAGGCAAAGCTCGAGCGGATGAAGTTCGCTTTTACGCCGAGAAGGCAAGTAACGTTGCACAAGCCTGCTTTAAGTTCAGTACTTGGTTTATAAGCAATACAGTAACTTAAATACTAAAATATTTGTATGTTTAAATGTCCAGAAATTGTGGTATATTGGACATTTTAAAGAATATTAAAAATGAAAATCTGTTTAATGTTTATGATTTCCTTTTTAGTTGATTGATTATGCTAAAAAGGGAGATACTGATGAAAAAGCAATGAAAATGGCTGATTTCTGGCTCACAGTAAGTTTTTATTATATATTTACATTTCAGTTTACACGCTTTTTTTTAATCTACATCTACATTTACATTGTTTGATATGTTTTCCCTTTAAGGAAAAAGATTTGATTCCCAAACTTTTTAAAGTGCTGGCGGTAAGGTTTGAGAATCAGACGGCAGGATACACAAACATGGCTCGTCTTCCTAACAGAGAGAATCTGGACCGAGCAGCCATGGCTGTGCTGGAGTATAAAGGCAACCCTTTCCCACCGCTGAACCCTGTCAAACGTGTTAGTGAACTGAACCTGGTCAACCAACTTCTGAAAGGATACCGAGAAGAAAAAGCTCAAATGGCCACTGAGAAACAGGACTAATATTGCACTGTATTTGTACATTTCATATAATAATCCAGTATTGATTTAATTAAAATATCTGTTTTGTGTGAATGGCTCTATGATGCTGATGTAAATTTGCACATACAGTAACAGCAGTGTGTCCAGAGCACATATATAATAATAATATTTGCTGTAAATGGCCCTACATGTTTAGTAAAACCATCAAACTATAAGGAAGATGTCATATTGTGGGAATGTAAACACTTCATTTTAGTATTTAACTGACAATTAATTGTGACCACAAAACCATATACATACCATACAAAAGCTGCATACATTTGCTATATATGTATTTTGTTAAGAGAGGACAATATTTGACAGATACAGCTATTCGAAAATTTAATTTGAAAAAAAAAATAATTAAACAATTGTTTTTAAAGTTGTAAAATTGAGCTTAGCAATGTACATTAATCCCAAATTGAGTTGTGATATGTTTAAAAAAGGATATTTACAAAATGTACTCATGAAATATCTTAATATTCTATTTATAAAATCAATATCAATAATATTGAATATTTTAATATAAAAAATGACCCATATAATGTATTTGTTTATTTTTTAAACCAGTGTAACACTGTTGGACTAGTTGGCAAAACTTTATAATAACTACACACTGAATCATTTATTAAGCATTAGCAAATATAGTGAATTCATCATTTGTTAAGTATTAACCCTAACAGATGTTAGTAAGCATTTAATAACTGCAGATACAAATGCTTTATTCTTGACATAAGAACATATATAATGTGCTTGACTGTGTTCATACTTTGTTAATCATCATTTTTTTTATTTAAGATAAGTTGCTGGTTTTTAAAATTTATTCAGAATGTGTAAGTAAATGCTTAATACACATTCAGATTAACATTTATATATCTGATTATTGAGGCATATACTAAAAGTTAATTTGCATGTTAATAAATGCTGTATTAACTTCATCCAGTTTTGTGACCTTAAGTAAGGACTATATGCTTTATAAATGACAATTAAAGGTTTAGTTATATTCTAAACAAGAAAAAAAGAAAATAAGCAACTTTATTCGTTTCTATTTGTTTGAAGAACTAATGAAATACTGTACAGTTAAAACATTGCTAAATTACATTGAAATGTTTCATGAAATATTGTTAAATTATTTTATTGTTGTTTTATCCAGTTTTATGTTGTATTCTGAATCCTGTTATTTGCCAATGATTAAACTTTAGTCATTTTCCTTTTATATAAGATTGCAAAGATGCAGTGTTCATTTGATGCTGAGTCTTTAATTGTCATTCATTAGGAATTTATAAAGAATAAATAGTCTCACTTTAGATTAGGTCACAAAACTAGATGTTTTTAGTTGAGTTACTAAAAAATGTATTACACAAATACTGAACTATTAGTATATGCCTGAATAATAGTATATAAATGTTGATTTGAATAGTTTATCAATAATTTACTAACTCATTCTGAATAATCTTTAAAAAAAAAAAACAATCGAAAAATTTGTAAATTTTGTATTGTATTTGTAAATAATGCAATACTTAATTTAGTCAAAAAATAATAAGTATGAAAGTACATTTAATAAGTACATTTTAAATGTGCTTTTAAGTCAAGAACACAGCATTTATGTCTGCAGTTATGAACTGCTCACTAACGTCTATTAATGTAGAGTTATTGCTTAACAGATAACGAATTCACTATTTGCTAATGCTTAATAGATGATTCATCATGCGTAGTTACTATAAAGTGTTACCGACTAGTTTTGTGGTTCAGGGTTACATTTGTCAAAAAGGAAACTACAAATTGTTTTTTTTAATTCATTACCAATAAATATTGCAGGAAAATTTATCAAACCAGTAAAAAATATTAATCTGATCAAAATTAGAACTTTGCTTGTGTTTGGATAAAAACACCCCGCTTTTCTGTCTTTATTGGCTGAAATAATTAGTTGAAAATGCCTTATAAATACTGGAAAATGTAGGATTTTTGAAAACTAAAGACCCCAATGATAGCAGTTGATAGTACAGATAATAGAATGACAAACTAGTCAAGTATAGATTATACATATTGAAAAGACTAGGATTTACTTTGATCAATGAAGGAATGCGAGAATACATGCTTTTAAATGGATTTAAGTATTATGATAGTGGTTACAATTCCCTTCATTGCTCAATAAAACAAACAAGCCAGTGTAGTAAAACAGACCATTTTAATTTGGCAAAAAAGTATGCACTGCAAGTCATTTGACACTATTAAAATGCATTCAGTATGAACAGTGCAACAGAGATGTGCTTAAACTAAATCTTTCTGTGCTCCCCAATGTGATGTGCTAATATCTATCATACATTCATAAAGTTTGCTCTCTCTGCTATGTGCACACACTCACTTAAAGGGATAGACCACACCAAGAAAGCTAATTATCATTTACTCAGACTGAATGGTTCTAAACTTTTACAAACTTCTTTCTTCTGCTGAACACAAAACAAGATACTCTGAAACTGCATCGACATCCATATCCAACCCTTGGCAAAAAGTATGGAATGGGCCCTCTTGGAAGATGTTCATTCAAATGTTTAATTGTGTAGAAGAAAAAGCGAACACATACATGCCACAAAACTAGTTTCATTCAACGATCCAACCTTCCTGACATACAAATCCGTATCATTAATGATTGTGACAATTTGCTTGTTTTCTTCAGGGGTTTGTCTTCATAAACTTCATTGGAAGGGCACCAAACAAAAGTTTCAACATCATCACCCTGCCTAATGCAGTTTCGTGATTTATCACTGAATATCACTCATATCCAGTCATCAACAGTTCAAGACTGTCTTTCTTTAGTCCACTGAAATCTTGTTCTTTTCTGTTTAGATGGTAATGATAGTTTTCGCTTTTAGGCAATTTCTTACAGTCTGATCCCAGACATTAACTCCACTTTCTGCCCATTTGTTCCTCATTTGCTCATTTTCTGTTTTAATGGCATATTGTTTTTCTTTCTTGACACTTTGACGTCTTCCTTGGTCTACCAGCACGCTGCACTTCTACAACCTTCTACAAGGATTTAACTTCTTTGAGAAGTTTGATAATCCTCTCCTTTATTTCATCTGACCTATCTAGTATTGGAGCCATGAGTTATGTCAATCAGCTTGGTTCAACACCTCACAAAGGTGTACAAGCACTCTTTTTTTTTAACTGCAGACCAATTAGTTGTAATCAGATACAGTTATTTGTTTTCAAACTGCTAAGTACGTGGCGATTCCATATAATTTTTCTCAGATTTGTGTGATTCCATGTTTTTTTCCTCTATTTGATCTGTGAAAACAGTTGTAATTGACTATAGTGTTCTTTCTGTACTTTTTTCAAGTGTTTCATACAGCCAGAAGGTTGGATTGTTGAATGAAAATAGTTTTGTGGCATGTACACGTTTGCTTTTTTTTCTTCACCATTAACTTTAATGAACATCTTCCAAGAGTGGCAATTCCATACTTCTTGCCAGGGGTTGTGGTAACAAAAAAGAAAATCAACAATTTTTTTTTTCCAGCAGTTTTCAGTATATCTTCCTTTGTGTTCAACAAAGGAACTCCAACAATTTTGTAGCAAGTGGAGGATGAGTAAACGATGAGAGAAGTTTCATTTTTGTGTGAACTATCCTTTTAAGAGATGGAAAAACCATGGCAAAGCCTTTTCTGGTGGCTTCCAGACAGATCAAGTTCAGCATTTCTAATATCCAGTGACTTAATGACCAAAGCTGTCAATACAAAAAATGGGAACTTAGCTTTGATGATTCTTCAAGTATGGTTCTTCTCATTAAAAAAAAAAACAGTAACTTTTGAATATAAATGTCATTATGTACATTACATATAGGATTATATTTAAAGCAGGTCAATCAAGATTATATAGGATATGTTTATATATAACAAATGTGAACTACAACTGGTTATTGAAAAAAAAAGAAAAGAAAAGCAGTGAATTTCACAGACAAAATCTTTACATTTTATCTGTACTGTAAATCACTGTATTGCATTATGGTTACATTTTCAAGGGTCTCCAATGATAATAAGGGCTTATAAACTATAAAGTGCTCCATGCAGTCAATACAAAGTGTTTCTGTAAGAGCAGAGCTATAATTTCATCAGACACTCAAGTAAACAAACCCTACGACAAACTCTACGACAACCCCAGTGGACTGAATAAGGCGATTTCTACTCGCTGACAGAATAAAAGATTTCCATATCCACTGTGAGTGTTATTAAGTGTACAAATATGTAACAAAGTCTGCTGAAATTGAATCTCAACTCAACTGTTAAATGAGTTTTTGTACTCCACACACCCCTGCTCTGCATTTTCCCAACTAAACCTCTATTATGGAATGAAAAATACAGAAAGAACGGCATGTCAAGTCTTCGTTCATCATCCGCTTGAGTTAAATATCGTCTACATACAGTGCTGTAGCTATAAACAGTGTTTACTGCATACAAAATTAGAATGCTAGTTGGGAGAACTAGACACACCCAAAATTACATTGAATATATCGGAATGTAGACAAAGCACAAACATGCATGGTTTACAAATACTGCCTAGTACTTCCAGTTTAACATCAGTCTCTAACTGTTTTCACTGTGAATGGGAATAAAAATATAACAAAAACTAAATTATCTCTACTGTACAGACAATTATAGTAAATTAAATCTCATAAACATAAAAACGTGAGGGAGATGAATACTTGGTTCTGTTGCATTAAAATGGCATGGCAATACAAATATTAACGGCACCACTTAAAAATGAACAAAGCATTAAAAAATATGTTGAGCTCACTGTACTTTTACTGTACACATCGCTATCCTACTTTCACATTAAGATTGAAGTATCTATACTGGTCTCCTGTCACTCTATTGCACCGGCTGTATATTATCTCTCTCCTGTCGCTGAAATATTTATTGCTTCTTATTTTTTAGGAGCAGGTTACATCCCACTCTCTCCACGTCCTGCAGCTCTCGTGTCTTATTACGAATTCAACAATACAGATGTTTTGGTAACTTTTTTTTTTAAATGGCTCCACTTTTTCACGCTTGCCTTCATATAATCTATTGAAATATTGAACTCTTTTCCACCTTGCAGATGTTTGAAAGTAGTTTCCGCATGTCCTGTTCCTCCACGGGCCGCTCTAGGCATTGGAACCCATCCCTGTGGCCCCTTGCATACTAAAATACTCGGTGAAGTGGGACGTTAATCTAGGAGGAGGAGGAGGAGAGTGCGCAGAGCTGCGTGGTGGTATTGGTGGAGGTAGAGAGGAGAATGTAGATGACAGGTCTGCGGTTGTGGTGATGATCTTCTGCTCGCTGTTTTTTGGCACTTCCTGTCCCTTCCGAGTCACCGCCTCATCTATTGTCTTCACAGGGTCCTTAAAAGGGAAATATGATATGGAATATATGCCATAAAAATATTAAAAATACATTTTTAGCATCTATTGTTCCATGAAAAAACCTCAACACCCATTAAAAAACTTTCTATTCCTTTAAATATTCTTTAGGGTGTTAGAGAGCTGAAAACTACACTCTTCTGAAAATGCCTGTAGGTGCTTTAGAGCCTTAGGGTGTTTGATAAAGAATTGCTTTGAAAGTTTCACAAATATCGGTCATTAAAGCAGCTAGAACTTTGCAGGTCTCACGTACTGAATTCAGGCATTTTTGTGACTGGTCAATACTTGGATGGAAGACCTGGAAAAATTGGTTAGCTGGGGTGCATTCCACTGAATGATATGACTCGGTTTAGCCATACCCCAGCAAGCATTTTTTGTTTTTATAAGATGTCCAATTGATGTCTAATAGATGTCTAAACATAGTCGTCTTGGCTAAAACAAGGCTAAATTTAGGCTGTCACAGAAAATCTAATGGATGTCTAAAAATAGGCCAAACTAGACTATTCATCAAATAAACAGAAATGAAAGACTAATACATATAAAGTCTGCCTAATCTGTCTATTTGACGACTTGTCTAGTGACAGCCCAAGTTTAGCCTTGTTTTAGTCAATTAGTCTACATTAAGGTGTCTATTAGACGTCTATTAAACACAAAATTGTTTGACCTGTCAACCCTCCTGTTTTGCTAGGATTCTCCTGCATTTTACCATTCTATCCAGCTATCTTCCAATTTAAGTAATTTCCCATATTTCTACCATAGTCTTTCTATAAAAAGTGAAAGTACCATCAACACAGAGCCGATCTCAAATGTAATTTACTGTAATTGCAAGAGCTGTTCAAGAAAATTGTGCTTTTGCTTTTTTTTATCTAGAAAGCACGTTGAAATTAATATAAAATCGTCTGCATTCACTTTCCATTGATAATCGCCCTTCCTATGCAACCACTGAATCAGCTGACTGATAGACGCGCTCCATATGATAACCTGTTCCCAGATCAGCTTACACGCCATTTAAAGAGGATCAAAAGTGATACATTGGGATTTGGGTGCGTTTAAACAGACAAATACACTTAATAATATGTAAACATGTCTGTCCTGCGTGTTTTATTTTAAACAACAAATTATCTCTTAAATGAGCATAAATGGTTACTAAAATAATCAAATGCTTTTTTTAGCCTAAATCTGTGCATTTTTACAGTGACACCTCTGTTATCAAACAAAATTAAATGAGAGATTCATTTACTGCTCTTCACTAAATAACTATAATAACTTTAATCAAAATTTAATTACAGCGAACAAAAAGTGAAGATTATATAACTTGATTTAATTTCTATTTAATTAAATAGGAACCTTTTATTTTATTGTCAATATTTTCTAATATTTGCTATTTATTTTATCAATTGAAGGCGGTTCATTCTGCTGTGGCGACCCCAGATTAATGAAGGGACTAAGCCGAAAAGAAAATGAATGAACGAATGAATGAATGTATCCTTTGAAGCTAATTATTGTCCCGTATTTTTACATCCCAATGTTGACAGGTATGGGCTTAGCACAGTTTGGAACAGCTTGGCTTGCTTCGCTGCAGTTTAGAACTGCTTCATAATGGGTGGGATTAGCAGTATTGGGGAAGCGACTCTGAAGCTGTAGCTTGATAAAGTACAAGCTATTCATCAAAGAAATGTAGCTAAGCTACTGCTAAACTACACTTCTAAAAAAAGTAGCTAGCTACACAAGCTAGCTACACAAGTTACTTCCAAAAATAAGCTAATTACATTGAAGCTACTTTTTTCACAGTCATTATCGCTTTTATCACTATTAACATTAATATTAATAATAATAATTACCATTTGAGTAATTTCTGAAGGATCATGTGACTCTGAAGACTAGAGTAATAAAGCTGAAATTCATCTTTAAAATTCCTGTATTAAATAATTAAATTAAATGTTAAACTACTTTTGAACAGTTATTTTATAGTGCAATAACATTTCACAATTTTACAATTTGTACTGTATTTTTGATTAAATAAATGCAGCCTTGGTGAGTAGGAAAAGCTTATTTTAAAACATTTAAAAATCCTACTGACCCCAAACTTTTGACCGGTAGTGTATATATGAATGAACCAACTTATATATATATATATATATATATATATTTTTTTTTTTTTTTTTTTTTTTATGATAGGACACTGTTTAGCCAAGATACAACTATGTGAAAATCTGTAATCTGAGGGTTCATTCGCCTTTAAAATTGTTAAAACTAAGTTCTCAACAATGCATATATCAGATATGAGTCTAACTAGAGGGCATCGTGTGAAACACATCAAACAAACTAGCATGACAGACACTCACTGACAGTCTGGCGCTGTCCACAGCAAAGAGCTTTACTGCCTAAATTTAGTCATGTAGGGATGATTAACGGCAATACATAAATCCCCCCCAAAAATTTGGGCAATCAAAAATGATTCTTTCTTTGGGGAAACTTAATTAGCAAAAATAAAAGTGAAAATTCTGAATTTATTATTGTACAAAGTGTAGTCATATATCATTTAAAAAGTGGCTCAGTGTGATTATACATTTTTACATTCTAATTCATTTATATTCATAACACATAACGACAAAATATAACTCCTATCTTTACTCTACAACATAATACTCACTGAGTGGATGGAGAAGAGCTCTGTGAAGTTTGGCTGAGAGTCTCCCAGGAAGGAGCTATTCCCATAAGCATGATGAGGGAAGTTTTCTGCCCCCATGCCTTTAGGACTGGAGAGAAGAATTCCTATCTGTGATGTACGCACATGGTAGGGGAAGTTTTTATTTGCTGCTGAAGGTCGTGTAATGGCCTGGAATCACAGGATACAATCAGGGTTATTTTATCATTTTACTAGCTTAAATAAATAATGTACTTACTAAGCCTTTATCAGGCAAGTATAAGACAAATTCATTGACCTTGATTACCAAATAATCTTTTTCATACAAGTCCTTTAAGTTCAAAACACTCTAATAAGTGCCCCATAAAAGGTTAAACAACATCAACAATCATACCAGGAAGACGACATGAGCATAGAGATGAATGCCAAGTTGGATTCCGTTCACTATCTTTTCCCTGGCCCAGCGAGAGATGCCAAAGTTGGCAATTAGAGCCATGACTGGCACAGCAAAAAACCTGTGGTGAAACATTAATGGGTGAAAAGAGAAACAGCAGCTTTGTACTGTCAATCTTCTTTACAGCTTTACAAAGGCTGTGGGAAGTTACAAAATCATCTTGAGTGAAAGTAGAGAAAAACAGTTTCAGTATGTTACCATGAAAAGACGAACATTGCTGTGTCCATTTCCCAAAAGTTCATGTGCTACATTTTACTGCAGTTTACATGTCAAATGTCCACCGGGTGGCGACACATTTTTATTTTTATTTTTCAAACCAATCCTATTAGGACAAACACACACTCAAGAGGTGTGTCCCATTTTGCATACTTGTGAACTATTCTGAGCCACTCTGTAGTATAAATAGTGTGAGAAGTGTGTCCACTTTAAAAATCCAAACAAGAAAATAAGCACTTCAAATACCTATGATGCACTTAATTAACCAAAGTGGGAAATACAACGGTCAGATGCAGGATGACATAATATCCTTAGAAAAATCTCGATTACAATTATACAGAGTTTATTATACAGAGTTTAGTATAAATCTAGGCACACAAACTAGACATTTAAGAAAGGCAATAAGCAATGTAAAATAATATAGAAGTTCAAGCCAAAGCCAATAAATGCATTTGCTTAGGTTTTGTAGATGTTTTTAAAGCAATTGGTGCAATAAGTAGGGGTGAGTAAACACAGTTACTTTCTTTCATATTAATGCATCTGAGTAGAACACATAAAGGCTGGACAAAGTCATTGGTTTGTAAGCAAGTTTTACGTTTTTGCATATAGGTTCCAAAACTAGTCTTGAGTCTTTGCTGTCTTTAAATTTCAAGTCCTAAATCAAGAAGGGGAAGTACAGGTTACTTTTCAAGTGCTGAAAAAGGAATAATTCACCCAAAACTAACAATTTAAAAACAAATACTGTGGATGTCATTGGTTACAAGTTTTCAGCTTTCTTCAAAATTTCTTTTTTTGTGTGTAACAGGAGAAAGAATCTCATAAAGGTTTGAAACAATGAGTAAATGATAACAGACTTTTCATTTTTGGGTGAACTTTGCTTTTAAATCTCCCAGTTTAGAGTCATTATTTCCCAAACTAGCAAGATGTCCTTGATGCAGTCTGTAACCACAATGATGTATTGGATCAGGTCATTTGGAGTTGTTTGTTGTTATCATGAATATGAACATCAGTCTAGAATAGGGGTCACCAGACCTGGGGCCTCATGTATCAGCGCTGCGTACGCACAAAAACTTTGCGTACGCCAGGTTTCACGCTCAGAATCGCTCACGTTTGGATTTACTAACAATGAACTGAACGTGGGAATGTGCGCAGCTCCAAGCCAGCTTTATGGTTGGCGTACGCACATTTTTTGTGCGTGTCTGTTTTATTTCTATTGGCGACTCCTAGAGGCAGTTGTGTTAAATTGCACTCTACAAAGTGTCTTCTCAGCTGTATGAGACGGGTTCATCTGCATGTCTAGTATATAAGGTTTCCGTACCATACAGGTGACCATCCAAACATTAAAGCGCAATTTGTAGCAGTCGCCGGTTTTCCCAATGTAATCGGAGCGATCTACTGCACGCACATTTCTATAAAGGCACCATTCAAGGATGAACTGGCATACCTGAATCAGAAACATTTCCATTCAATAAATATGCAAATTAAATTTGATGCACAGACTTATTAATGATTCATACTTGTCTTTCTCATGATAAAGAGTATATAGGCAAAATCTGATATGTAGCGGGGAAAATAAAGAGTAAGTTCATCAGCCGCTGGATTCGAACCGAGTTCATGCTTGAACGTGTCAAAACATGTTGCCATGGGTTTAACGAGCTGCGCCACTTAGGATGTTAAAAACGCTACAAAATTTTACACCTATAGATCTCACTATTTCTTTTTTAATCTACTCAGTGCGATGTTCAGACCCAACTGTGTTAACCGCATCAGCTAAACTCTCCCCACTATAAAAAAAAAAACTCTCCCCACTCTATTTTTTCTTTTGTTATTAATTCCAGAGGACAAATTTGCAAATAAAACAGTTTTTCTCCGGTCTACCTCCGAAAGCAGTACCTTTAATTCACATTCTGTTCAAAGTTTCTCTTTTTGCTTAATTTTGTCATTGTTTTTTCGTTGGGTTTTGCCAAAGAAGAGTCATTAGCATGTTCATATGGGGGCGGAGGCAGGGAGGGGTTTTGTACTTGTGCATGTTGCGCTCAGTTTCACGTTCATGCAGATGTACAAACAGAATATGCGTGAGATTCGGCGTACACAGTGTTTCATACATCTGAATTTTTTTCTGCGTACGCACATTTACAGCTTTGTGCGTATGCAATGTTTTAGTATGATTTCCACGCAAGTCTTCGTACATGAGGCCCCTGGTCTGGGTGGGCCTGTGTCCTGCAGAGTTTAGCTTCAACTTGCCTCAACATACCTGCCTAAAACCTTCAAGTATACCTATTGAAACCTTGATAAGCTTTCTCAGTTGTGTTTGATTAGGAATGGAGCTAAAGTCTGCTGGATACCAAGAGTAAAACAAGAATAAAAGAAACAAGTAAAAAAATAAATAAATAAAAACAAATAATAAAAATGATTTAAAAACATAAAAACAGGTAAAGTGTGATATAAAAGAATGAAGAAGAAGAGAAAAACATAATAGTGCAATCTGTCGGACGCAGCAAAGTGCTCATTCAGTAAAGGCACAGCTAAACAGATGTGTTTTTAGTCTGGATTTGAATGTGCCTAATGTTAGAGCACATCTGATCATTTCTGGAAGCTGATTCCAGCAGCGGGGGGCATAGTGGCTGAAAGCTGATTCACCCTGCTTTGACCGAACCCTTGAAACTTCTAGTTTATATGATCCTGGGTTTGTATTCAGTGAGCATATCTGTAATGTATTTAGGTCCTAGGCCATTTAGTGATTTATAGACAAGTAATAATACTTTAAAATCTATTCTGAATGTAACTGGGAGCCAGTGTAGAGACCTGAGTACAGGTGTGATGTGCTCTGATTTTCTGGTTCTGGTCAGAATTCTGGCTGCAGCATTCTGGATGAGCTGTAACTGTCTGACTGTCTTTTTAGGAAGGCCAGTGAGGAGGCCGTTACAGTAATCCACCCTGCTGCTGATAAAAGCATGAACAAGTTTCTCTAAGTCTTCACTGGAAACAAAGCACCTGATTCTTGCTATGTTTTTGAGATGATAGTATGCTGATTTACTGACTGCTTTGACATGACTATTGAAACTCAGATCTGACTCCAGAGTCACACCAAGATTCTTGACCTTATTTTTTGTTGTTTGACCTTTAGTAACCAGGTACGCATTTACCTTGAGAACCTCATCTCTGTTCCCAAACGCAAATGCAAATGCAGCACTGAGATCGAGCAATACCAGCACTGTTAGCTTGCCTGAATCTGTATTTAGGCGTATATCATTGATTATCTTTATAAGAGCGCTCTCTGTACTGTGATGTGCTCTGAACCCAGATTGAAAATTATCTAAATACCCCTTTAAGTTTAAAAACTTGTTAACCTGGTTAAAAACAACTGTTTCAATGACTTTGCCAATGAAAGGGAGATTTGAGATTGGCTTGTAATTGCTCAATAGGGTGTTATCCAGGTTGCTCTTCTTCAAGAGGGGTTTAACAACTGCGGTTTTAAGTGAGTTTGGAAAAATCCCTGAAAGAAGTGAAGCATTTACCACTTTTAGAAGATCTGTTTCTAAACAGGTAAACACTGCTTTGAAGAATGATGTGGGGAGCGTGTCAAGACTGCAGGTTGATGTTTTCATAGCTTGCACAGTCTCTTCTAAGATTTTACCATTAATTGCCATGAAATCAGACATAATGTCTGATTTCTTAAGTTGTGGTTGAGCTTGTTTGATATTGACACAACTTGGCTGATTGGATGAACTGATTGCCTTTCTGATATTATTGATCTTATCAGTAAAGAAATGAGCAAACTCATTACATTTGCTTTTAGACAGTAGTTCACCTGGAATCCGACTGGGGGGGTTTGTGAGTCTCTCTATCGTTGCAAAGAGTGTGCGAGCATTATTAAGTTGTTGTTTATAAGGCTTGAAAAGAAAGTCTGTCTAGCAGTGTTTAGTTCCATATTAAAAGCATGAAGACTGTCTTTATAGATATTATAATGGACCACTAGTTTCGTCTTTCTCCACATACGCTCAGATTTTCTGTCTTTTCATCATTTGTACTCTTGGTGACCTTGTCCAAGATCCCTTTTGCCTGCCAGTCTTCTTCTTGACTTTAACAGGAGCGACGTCATCTATAATCTTAATTTTAGAGTTAAACAAATCAAGGAGAAAATCAACAGAATCTGCAGATATACTTGGTGCTAGCGATATGGCCTTCATAAACTGCTCACTAGTGTTCTCATTTATGCATCTCTTTCTGATAGAGACAGATCTGTCTTTAATAGCTGGAGTGATTAATATATCAAAGAAGATACAGAAATGATCAGATAGTGCCACATCCTTAACAACAGTCGATGAAATGTGTAAACCCTTAGTTATAAGTAGATCAAGAGTGTGTCCACGATTGTGTGTGGGTCCTTGAACATGCTGAGTCAGATCAAAAGTGTTAAAAACAGTCATCAGTTCTTTTACAGCATTGATTTCTGGATTATCTATATGAATATTAAAATCCCCAGCAATACTAAAATAATCAAATTCAGAGGTTACTATTGATAACAGCTCTGTAAAATCATCAATTAAAGCTGGAGAATATTTTGGAGGTCTGTAGATAATGATCAGTAAGATGCGTGGAGACCCTTTAAGTGCTATACTCAGATATTCAAAGGACAAATAGTCACCAAATGACACTTGTTTACACTCATATACATTTTTAAACAGGGCAGCGATGCCTCCACCCCTCCTATTAGCTCTGCAAACACTCAAAAAATCAAAGTTTAAAGGAGCTGCTTCATTCAGAACTGCTGCGCTACAACTGTCATCTAGCCAAGTTTCATTTAAAAGCATAAAATCAAGGCAATTTGTGTTGATGAAATCATTGACTAAAAGTGACTTATTATTGAGTGATCTGATGTTTAAAAGTGCTAACTTAACAGTTTTAGCCGTTTTCACTACAGAAGTCTCAGATCTACATTTAATAGACACTAGATTTGAATTATTTGCTTTACAGCCAAAAGAAGTCTTTGGTTTTCTGTCACTTAACAAAACACATATCTGCTTAGAGAAAGCTACAGACACACTGGGTTCCTGCTTGTTCTGAAAACATTTGATAAAGACACTGTTATCTAAGCAGGCCCCCGACACACATCAGTGAGAGCTGTTGTGTTCACCAGCTGAAGATGGGGCGTTGTTGTTTGGGCCCTGGCGGTGTGGCAAAATCGGAGGGCTCTTCCAGGTGGGCTCCTAGGTGGTTGTGGAGCAGGCCGCTTTTTGGTTGATAACTGGGGGCTTGCGGCAATGGAGTGTGAAAGTTTAGTTCCAGCATACACCAGTTCCTCCATCTTTTTTGAAAATCCCAAGAGTGGTGAACATTGTGACAATGAGAACGTGTCCGGTGACAGAGGCTGTGCATCTGGAGATTCTGTCTGCAGAAATATGTTTTCCTGAGGATTATTTTTGAGTGACGAGACTTGATGCTGTTCTGATGCTTCACAGTCTGCCTGTGTTGAGCAGAGGGCAAGTGATAGTGTCTCTATCAACATTGGGTGTTTTGGCTGCGTGGCATTATCACTGTCCTTGGGTGATTCGTCAGCCACAAGTCCACTCAGGAGCTGATTTGAAGTCCTGTGGTCATCCGGACATTTGCTAGGTGTGTGTGTGCAATTCAGTTCAGTGGCATACACAGCTCATGGATGATGGAGGGAGAAAAAAATATTGTCCTTTAGCACCTTTGCACCAAGTTTGTTTGGATGAAGGCTGTCTGATGTAAACAGTTGTCTTCGGTTCCAGAAGAGATTGAAGTTGTCAATGAAATTCAGTCCTTTCTTGTTACATGTTTTCTGTAGCCATACATTTAGACAGAGAAGCCGTGAAAACATATTTGTCCCTCTTGCAGGGAGTGGTCCACTTATGAACGGCTGAACCTTCAATCTTTCAACTGTTTCCAAGAGCTCACAGAAATCTTTCTTGAGCAGTTCTGACTGTTCCTTCCGAATATCATTCTTCCCCACATGGATGATAATCTGTTTTGCAGTCTTGTGCTTTTTCAGAATTTCCTCAAGTTCTTTATTTACATCAGAAACTGTTGCATGAGGAAAGCAGTATGTCATTGTAGATCTGCTCCTGAAATTCTTGATTATTGAATCTCCTACGACTAGTGTTCTTATCTCAGGTGTGATCGGAGCAGAATGCCGCTGTCTAGTTGGCCTTGAGCCTCTGTTCCATGCTGAATTAGTTGCTGAAACATGCGATCTCTGTCTGACTGCATTTGGGGATTCTTCACCCATATTACTCAAAACTTCATATCTGTTCTGAAGCTGTATTTGAGTACGAGCTGTATTTGGGGTAGAAGCAGTGGCGTAGCGGACGGGCCCGCATCGCGGGGGGCCCCCGCGTGATTAAGGGGCCCCGCGTCGTCGCGATTTTCAATAATTGAAAATCCACCGGCAACCGCAATAATCTAACTCTTGGGAACAACTGTGGTCGGAACCAAAGTTCACAGGTCTGTGTTCTCTAAACACTGCTCAAGTGGTGGACTACTTCATTCTGATTGCTTGCCGCCAATGTTGCCAACTTAGCGACTTTGTCACTAGATTTAGCGACTTTCAGACCCCCCAAGCGACAAATCTAGCAACTTTTTTTGTGTGTTAATGAAAATTTTTTTAGACTGTCATTTGTCCATACTGTACCGTCCCTACTCTTCTCAACGAGCTGCGTGTGATGCCGCCGGCCCCTCCCCCGCCTCACAGCACTGACAGGCGGCCCAGTCAGTCCTCGTACAGCAGCCTCTCCCACCTGCAGCCCGAGAGCAGATCACCCCTCTGCGTACCGACGACAAATGATTTAGCACAGGCAGTGTGAAGGTATTTCCCTTGTACAGTCAAACCGATCTACTTCTACTTTATTTTAACAATTTAATTGGGCCGTTTATTCTTTTCTTGTTCACAATCACAGATATTTTAGTGACAGTTTCTGAACTTTTCTGAGTTTATTACATATAAGAGATTACTGCACGTTCACTACACATCTATAATGACATACTGTATTCAAACAGCAATAAATTTAGTTAAATAAACATGCTTATATAAAGTGAAGTGCAATTATAAATACCCCTTTATTAACCATAGGCTGTTAAACAAACAGAAACTGTAAAACGTGATGACGTCAGTGTTATGCAAATTGACATATGACGTATCCCCCCCCCTCTTCATCAGGGGGCCCCGTCAGCGATCCCTGCAGGGGGGCCTCCGCATTTTGCGCTACGCCACTGGGTAGAAGACGCTAATGCGGCAGCGTATGATCTGACCCCGCGAGTACCCTTTGGTCTCGCACCTTGTTTATGCCAATGCCCATTTTCAACAGTTTTATTCTGTTTTTTTTTGTGCTCAAAACAGTAGCAGGAACAGATTTATGGGACTCACCAGCTGTGTGCTGAGAGGATCCACAATGAAGCTAAAGTTCTGGTCGGATCGCAAGCAACTTCGTTTCAAGAACTGCAATCCTTTGTAGAAGTTTGTGGCAGTTTGTACAGCAGTGAGAATCTGAATTAATCCGATCCAGAGGCATTTTCACAGCCGTGTTTTCCCGTCTCCGGAATGTAAGCAGCTGGTAGCTGGTAGCAGGAGGATTGTTTAGACGGTAATTCCCCTCTTGTTAGTAAAGCTATATTCCAGAATGTTTGTAGAATCGATGCTGATCTTCAAGCCATGTTTTTTGAGCACTGTGCTGATAGGCTCAAGTTAAAATTAGGGTACAAGATATAAAAAGCAAGAGTGCAAAGAGCGGAGCAGTAGGCAAAGATGTCCGAACAGTAGCAAAGCAGGAAGTGTAAATAGTGTGATTTATAAGTGTAAAATGTTGCAGCACCTTTAACAGTCTCTGTGGCGAAGCTCGTAAGACGCACGTCAACATGTTTTGACACGTTCGAGCATGAACTCGGTTCGAAACCAGCGTCTGATGAACTCATTTTTCTTTTTTCCCCCACTACATATCAGATTTTGCCAATTATTTATCACGAGAAAGACAAGTAGGAATCATTAATAAGTCTGTGCATCATACTTTATTTGCACATTTAATGAATGGAAATGTTTCTGATTCAGGCATGCAAATTCTTCAGATAGTGTCTTTATAGCAATGTGCGTGCAATAGATAGCTCAGATTACATTGGGAAAACAGGCGACCGCTGCAAATTGTGCTTTAATGTTTGGCTGGTCAACTGTATAGTATGGAAACCTTATATACCTGCTAGATCAACCAGTCTCATACAGCTGCTATTGCTAGGCTCAAAGAGCAATTTAACACAACTGCCTCTGGGAGTCGCCAATGGAAATAAAACAGACACGCACAAAAAATGTGCGTACGCCAGCCATAAAGCTGGCGTGGAGCTGCGCACATTCCCACGTAAATTTCATCGTTAGTGAATCCAAACGTGAGTGATTATGAGCGTGAAACCTGGCGTACGCAAAGTTTTTGTGCGTATGCAGCGTTGATACATGAGGCCCCAGGCCTCCAGTACTGAGTTTGGTGACCCCTGGTCTAGATTATCACAACTTTGACATTTGGTAAAGTCTTCAAATGGAGGGCTAAAATCAAAGTCAAGTTTCAGGTATTCTTTGTGTCAAGTCACAAGTCATCATATTTGCGACTGGAGTAAAATCTAAGACTCATATCCACCACACAATAGAGTCAATGACATTTGACAACATGCTGACTTTAAAAAGCCCTTATTACACTATTTATGAAGGTTCCTGATTTTATTTTGGAGATCACTAGCAATACATTTACATCCATAAGAGCACCCATCCCCCCCCCCCACTTCTACCCCCCACCAACAGTGTGACCTCTATTCTCTCTAAGAGTGTAACCTGCTCTGATTGGTCGAATGATAAAATCTATATTATTTGTGATTGGTCAATGGCTTGAAACACTATTACCATATTGTATTTTCACTTCAAGAGTGTTCCTTAGCACTTTTAAACACAGTGACACAATGTTTTTTATGAGTTACAGGTCTTCTTTTGTTTGGGAGAAAACGGGTCCATTTATCATGCACTTTGACCTTTGCAAACCTTTTACATGCATAAAATGCTACATTAAAGTGTAATATTTGAAAGAGCATGATAAAGGTACTTATAATTTTGAAATGGAAATAAGTTTGCTTTTAGCGCCAGAGAAAACATTACATGGAAAATTGTTAAATCCATCAAACGGTACTTTTTTAACCATTAATATTTCCCTCTGACTCTGCAATAACAATATATGTTGAATAAATTAAACAGAGTGCAGAAAAAATAAAGTGTAGCATCTGATTTTGTATGCATATTAAATTCTGCATGTTAATAGTATCATCCCTTCAGAACTCACCAAAGAGTGTACGCCGTGAAGAAGGGGATGTAGAAAGGCTGTTTTTCAGGGTAGTGTTTGAGGGACACCAGCACAGCATAGCAGAACCAGACATACGCCAGCAGCTGCAGACCCATTAGACCGTACCCTGCAGGGCTGTCATAAGCATACAGCACCTCGCCTGGATCAAAGAACTACAACACACACACGCAGTGGGAGTGGGAATGGGGAAATCACCGCCCTTGGCATCCCATCTGTATGACTGATGGTTTTAAATCCGACCGTGGCACAATCTGTTAGGCTGCATAAGTGGAAAGTGGCGGAACATTCCTCAAATCCAAACATCTGAAGCTGCATTAGAGTAAAGGGTGACACTGACACCAGACGCAACAGGAGCTCTTCAATGATACCGCGTGAGCTTATCTGGGTCACTCTCTGAACCTGTCTTTCCCCTCTCTCTATCTGTCTGTCTATCTGCCGGCTTCCATTACACTACGCTACAGCAGTACGACATGCTCATGCTGAGTAACTTCATCTTGCAGCATTACATTATGTACGGAGTGGAGTAGCTCTCGGGTGCTGCAGAGGAAACGGCAGTTGATAGTGTTCAATGATAATGAAAAGTCCCTGTTTGATAATATGGAAATTAATAGACGTTTTGAATATTAGGTACTTTTTCCACATTCATTGCATATATTTTTTTGCTCTCTTGCAGGTGAAGGCAGGTGAGGGTAATTAGGCAAGTTATTGTATAATGATGATTTGTTCTGTAGACAATCAAAAAAAAAAAAACAGCTTATGGGGCTAATAATTTTTACTTTAAAATGGTTTTTAATTAAAAATTACTTTTATTTTAGCTTAAATAAAACAAATAAGACTTTTCTAGAAGAAAATATATTCTAGAAAATACTGAAAATTTCCTTGCTCTGTTAAACATAATTTGGGGAATATTTAAAAGAGAGAAAAACAATTCAAAGAGGGCCAATAATTCTGAATTCAACTGTGTGTGTATATTGTTACTGATTGCAGTTCATGTATTCTGCTAATCTATAGATTTGTATTGCAAATACAAACAATACAGTACATTATTTGGCTGTAACTGCAAAAATGTATCTTGATAAACCTCAATAAACTTCCAATTTAATTATTTATTTCATTATTGAAAATATGAATCTTAAAATACATGTGTAAGTCAAAGTTGAAAAAGGGTTTACAAGTATCAAAATTATAAACATTTACTGTAACCCCTTAATTGTCACCACATGTTTGTAGTTCAAACAAATTTTATGCCATATGATATATACATATTATAAATATTTTGTCAAAAAGTTCAGATTTAGCAAAAATAATAATAATAAAACAAAATACTGAAAAACCTGAACTTTGACAAAATATCTGTAAATTTTAGTTTTCATTCAGTGTAACAATAGTTTATATGCCAAATATCTTGTTAGACTTATTTAGAACAAAAGTAATGGCTAATACTTTCGTTTAAGTAAACATACACACCATTTGTCTCTGGTTTACCATCTGCCTATTATTCAGATAACTGTTTATTAGTACTTATAAAGTAGGACCTCATTTTACATCCCTCCTTAATCCTAAATACCCAAACCCAATTATAACCGTACACTCTCAGAAATAAAGGTACAAAATTTGTCACTGGGGCGTTACCTTTTCAAAAGGTACACTTTCGTTTCTAACATGTCCTTAAAGGTATATAATAATACCTAAAAACTAATGTGTACCTCACAGTAACTTAAATATACAAAATTAGTACCCTAAAGGTACTAATGTCAACATGTACTGTAAAAAAAATTACCATTTGAAAAGGTATCACCCCAGTGACAGATTTTGTACCTTTATATCTGAGCATGTAAGGTACTGTAATAGTTGGGTTTAGGTATTGGGTAGGATTAGGGAAGTATGTAATATAAGATCATACTTTATAAGTGCTAATAAACAGTAAATATCTCATCAATAGGCAGGTATTAAAAAAATAAATAAATGGTGTGTATGATTACTTAAAATAAAATGTTAGCCAATACTCTTGTTGACTGACAAGCCTGAGATTTTTGGCATATAAACTACTGTTACACTCTCAGAAATAAAGGTACGCGAGCTGTCACTGGGGTGGTACCTTTTTAAAAGGTACAAAATTTGTACCCATGAGGTCTATATTATTACCTCAAGGGTACATATTAAAAAGTACAAAAGTGTTCCTCTTACATTTTTTAGGTACTAATATATTCTTTTGAGGTACCAATATGGACCCTTTAAGTACACCCCAGTGATAGCTCATGTACTTTTATTTATGAGAGTGTAGACAGGATGAAAATAATTTTTTAAAGTTCAGGTTTTTGAATATATATGTTATATATATATATATATATATATATATATATATATATATATATATTATGTGCACTATTTAAGCATCCAAGTGCAGCCACACAATATTAATTAATTGTCATTAAGTCATACTAATTTGCTTTGTTACTATTGTTCAAACCATCAGGATTTGATGCAGCATTTATTTGTCTAATTAGTCACTTTATTAAACTATATTCTAAGTGTTTAGAACAGAAACTAATGGTTTATGCCCTTTTTTCAAAACATGATATAGTATTACTTTTATTTACATGTATCTCTGTAATTCAATGGCAAAAAAAAAACATTAGTTTTGGTATAAGTGAGTTTGTTTCTTATGTTCATGTATTTGATTAATAATACTTTTAGAAATGTATTAAATTAATACAGATAATTATAATTTTTTTATTTGAATATATACTTGAAAAAAAATTCTGTCATGTCAAAGTTAAATTTTAGCATTAATTGTCACATGTTCCCTCAGAAATCTTTCTAATATGTGACCTGCTGGTCAAAACACATTTTATCATTATAATTTATGAAAACAATCAAGCTGCTTAATATTCTTATATAAACCATGATTTACTCACACATGATACACATGATACACCATGAGACAGCAGCATTTATTTGAAATAATAATGTTTTTACCTTCACATTAATATAATAACTATCAATCACAAACATTCAGCATATTTTTCTCCATCTCTGATTATGATAAATAGGTAAAAGCATCTTACCTCTGCTTCATATATGAAGAGTATGATGTAGGTGATGGTGTACACTGTCATATAAATGGACAGTTTTACAGAGCCACTGTGACTTATTCTTGCCCTGGGAGAAATATTAAAAACATTATCACTACTGTCTGCTGGTCTCTAAAACACTGGACAAAGGGCAATCAGCAGATCCACTGAAAGTAAGGGAATTTGAATGCAGGACAGTCTTGACATCTGGGTCACATTAACATGATTAGCGATGTAAGTCATTAGCCACATTATGTAGGCAGTAAGGCCTTCTACCTGGTGACTGTGAATCCTTTTCCCAGGAGGATCAGCATGAGCAGGAAAATCAGGAAGCTCACAGAGAAGAGTAATTTCCCTGGTGAGACGAAGAGAGTTGCACACAGGTGAACACAAGTAGGCTATAAATCAGGTCAGCATTTAAGAATGAATCCAGTCATAAGAACACAAATGTGCTGTGCAGTGCTGAAACTCAAAGTAGAGCCTAAAAGAGGATTTTTAGAAGTCATAAACACAAAAAAGGTTAATGGAAGCACTTTTTGCAGGAAAATACTAGTTCAAAATGTAAATCAGTGCTGTGCTTGCTTTCTTTGTTATTGCTTCTAAAAAGAATCAACTGATTGTTTAACACGTTCACTTCTGTGGTTATTTTTATGGCTAAAATAATTTATGAAAACTATTTAGCCTACGGGCCTCACGTTGGCTCAGTGGTTAGCACTCAAGAAGATCGCTGGTTCTAGTCCCAGTTGGGTCAGTTCTCCACGTGTTGGCGTGGGTTTCCTCTGGGTGCTCCAGTTTTCCCCACAGTCCAAATACTTGTGGTACAGGTGAATTAAATAAACTAAATTGTGCCTAGTGTGTTGTACTGGGTGTTTCCCAGTACTGGTTTACAGCTGGAAGGGCATCCGCTGTGTAAAACATTTGCTGGATAATTGTCGGTTCATTCTGCTGTGGTGACCCCTGATGAATAAACAGACTAAGCTGAAGAAAATGAATTTTAGCCTACTTATTTATGATTCACACTATTAACTGGCTCATTGCCAGTCTATTATTAAATCATTATTAGGCTATATTTATCTGTAAAAGTACATATTCTGCATGATCTTATTCTACATTCAACTCAACTACTACCTTAATAACTATTCATAAGCAGCAAATTAGTAAAAGTCATAGTTACTGGTTTATTAATAGCGAGAATTGTACATTAAAATAAAGTGACAAATGCTTTCTGTATAATTTTTTTTCTTTGGAACACTGATTTTGATATTAAATTTACATATAAAAGGAAAATTTGAGTTGTGATGTTCACCAAAGCAATTTTCATGTCAGTGCTCAATTTATATGTATAGAAGTTGTTTTAAACAGCAAGATAATGTTTTTCAGTTGGTTATGATAAGGGCCTGACAGAATCCACTAATATTTTTTGTTATTACTGCAAATAATTTTGTCCGAAATCTGCGGATTTATGTGGAATGATTTTGGGAGTGAAAACCTAATATATGAAATTAAAATAATACCTTTTTAACTTTTATGTAATGTTTACAGTGCAAATCCACTTATTTAGTAAACAAAGCAAGTTATAATACACTCAACCAGCCACTTTATTAGGTACACCTGTCTAACTGCTCGTTATCGCAAATTTCTAATCAGCCAATCACATGGAAGAAACTCAATGCATTTAGGCTTGTAGACATGAGCTGCATCCCAAATGGCACACTATACACTATGCACTCATGCACTATGTGCTTATGCACTTACACACTCAACAGGATCGTATATGTATGTAGTGGCGTCCCAAATGGCACACTAATGTTTTTTTACTAAGCGGAAATTTAAACAGTTTCCCTGATGACGTTTGACGGTTGCCAAATCAGTGAAAAAAACGACCGAATTATCAAATAATACCTGCCATGAGTATTGTCGCATTCACCATTGGGAGGCGCTATAATCACTCTTGTAGGAGAATTTTGCTTTCACCATCCAAAATAAATAAAGTTATTCAACATGTGCGTCCGATAGCTCCACCCCTTCCGCTATGTAAGCAAACCTGCGGTCGTTGAGTGCGTGAAGTGTCCATCATTACACTCTTCATTTTAGTGGCTGAATGAGTGCATCATCCGGGTAATTAAAGTGCACTTATTATTTTTAGAGTTTTCAGTGTGAACACACTACTTACACTATTTATACTACAAAATGGCGTAGAATAGTGCATAAGTATGCAATTTGGGACGCAGCTATGGTCTAGAACAGGGGTGTTCAAACTCGGTCCTGGAAGTCCTGTGTCCTGCAAATTTTAGCTCCAACTCACCTCAACACACCTGCAAGGATGTTTCTAGAAAGCCTAGTAAGAGCTTGATTAGCTAGCCCAGGTGTGTCTGATTGGGGTTGGAATTAAACTTTGCAGGACACCGGCCCTTCCGGACCGAGTTAATACATGCCTGGTCTAGACGATCTGTTGCAGTTAAAACCAAGCATCAGAAAGGGGCAGAAAGGCCATTTAAGTGATTTGGCATGGTTGTTGTTGCCAGACGGGCTGGTCTGAGTATTTCAGAAACTGCTGATCTACTATTTTCAAGCACAACCATCTCCAGGGTTTACAGAGAATGGTCTGAAAAAGAAAAAATGTGCAGTGAGTGGCAGTTCTTTGGGGTCAAATGCCTTGTTGATGCCAGAGGTCAGAGGAGAATGGCCAGACTGGTTCGAGCTGATAGAAAGGCAATATTTCTGAAAATATTTCCAGTACCTGGTTGAATCTATGCCACGAAGGCTTACGGCAGTTCTGAAGGCAAAAGTGGGTCCAACCTGGAAATAGTAAGGTGTACCTAATAAAGTGGCCGGTAAGTGTATATCTACTAAAAGACAAAAAAAATATTACTTTACAAACTGTATTGTAAATAAATCAAATAAAGATTTTCATATTAATCAATCATATTACTGAAATTACTTTAAAACTGAATTAATATAAATTTACAAACATTTACACAAGTAAATAGACAATGATGGGCTAAAAATCTGCGGAAATCTGTGGATTTCTGTTTGTGGTTTCCGTGTGAGCCTAGATATGATCAAATAAAAAAAATTAAGACAAGACAATCAAATTAGGGTTTATTTAGGGAAAATGTGTGAATTTAGAGTGTCTTCCACAAAACTAAAATTTTATTTGTTTACTTGAGGAAAAAAATATATAAACGATTAAGCACCAATAATAATATATTATACTATCATAGCATAAGATTTTTGAGGAATCATGTGACACTAAAGACTGAAATTACAATTCTGAAAATTAAGCTTTGCCGTCACAAAAGTAAATTACATTTTAAAAAAGGTGAGACTTTATTTTAGGTCACAATTCACAGTATTCACAAACCATTAACTAACACTATTAGTTTATCAAACAACTAATTAACTGTTTATTAATAGTAAGGTAGTAGTTGGGTTTGGGTTTTGGCCAGAATTAGGGATGCAGAATAAGATCCTACTTTATAACAATCTAAATAATAGCTAGTAGGTAATAGCATGAATTGTGACCTGAACTGAAGTGTTACCATAAAAACATATATATTCAAAACTTTAAATGAGGCTTCACGATATTACAGTTTTACTCATTTTTGATCAAATATTAGCAACCTTAATGGGAAAAGATTTATCAAAAACTTCTGCACACTAGTGTTGTTTCTCAGAGATTCAAAAATAACAGCATTCTTCTCACCTAATATCTTGAGACTGCCATTCCCGACGCCATCCCTAGCATAAAGACCCCAGTAAATGCAGAAGAAGAGCAGGCTTAATACTGACAGAGAGGAATCAGAAAGTGAAAGAAAGGATGCCAGGGATAAGAGAGAAGAGAGAAAGATAAGTCACAGCAGCAGCGGTGAGAGCGCAGAGCAGGGAAGTGAATGTGGGAAGAAGATAAGGATGAAAGAAAGAAAGGATGACAAGAGATATTGTTATGCATCCAGTGTTGCAAAACCCGGCATCATAAAAAGTTGCTTGTGTTTATCTCTCTGAGTGTGTGCAGTGGCCTTTCTCACCCTCCACTCCAGCCGCAGTCATAAACATCTTATAGGTCGTATGGAGCAGCTGCCTTGCCTTTAAATTATCTAAGAGAATCACACAGAAGGAAAAAGATTTAGTGAACATTAATAACTAATTCAAAGAGACCAAGAAAAGTGAAGATCCATAGAATTAGTGGTTGGCTAACAATATCTGTAATTTAACACTGGATAATAAGACTTGCAAATTATGCACTGAGACCAGTGCGTCTGAGGTCTTTGATACCTCCAGGACATGGAAACTCACAAGCAAAATAACAAGACAGTGTAAACACGGTGGCAAATATAACCAAGAACGTGATGTCTGTCTCCAGGATGCCTGAAACAGAGAGAACAAAACAAGAAGAGCACTGAGTGTATGTGTGACTAATGTCTTATCATCATTAATCGCTTTCATTCTAAACAAATTATCTTCAATGGAACGCAAAAAAAAGACGATTTGCAGAATGTTCATACTGCTTTTTTCCCATACAATGGGCTCTATTTTAATGATCTAGGTGCAAAGTCTAAAGTGCAGGGCGCAAAAGTATTTAGCTATTTTAAGGATGGAAAAACACAGTTTGTCCCGACGCATGGTTTAACTGGGTTTTGCTTATTCTCGTACTGAGTTATGGGTGTGTTTTGAGCATATTGTGCATTAAACCAATCAGTCTTTTAGCCTACATTTTTAACTTAGTTGTGCGCAAAGATTTAATTTAAAACTATTTCTTAATTTCCAGCAAACAAATAAATGAACAATGATAATAAAGTTTCGTCAAAAAAGCTATAGAGTTATATCTAAACACACATCTTAATATATATTTATACCCCCATATGGTGATGCATACGTCTCCAAAACCTGACAGGTGGACAAATCTAAACTTGTGTTTATTAAAACAAATATAAATATGCATATAATAAATAAAACTGCTAATAATGATAATATTTTATTTTAAAGTGCACAACTAACTCCTCTGTGCTAGATTTTAGACTTGTTTTCAGCTGGTCGATTGTGCAGTCTATTTTAGTTTCTCAAAATAGCAACGCGCCAACAATGCGCCCTAACACACCTTCTTTCTAGACTAGAACACTCATGAGTGCACAAAGCAGTGCAAATGGATTTGCCATTTAAACAACGTGGCACAAATTGGGTAAAATTAGGATTGCATTGATCTAAAAATAGCAACAAAATCGCGCCAAACACATCTTGGGCCTTATTGTGCTATGGTGTATGATAGGGCCCGATGACTGTAACTGGCGACAAGGAAATAAAATCTATTACTATAGTTCTTTCTCTGTGATTTGTGTTGTACACAGAATAATTCACACCAAGAATGGTCAGCATAACTGTATTAGTATCCACATTAACGTGTAATAACATTCAGTTTTATATTTTAACAGAAGCTTCTTTTCATTATCATCCTTGGCTTGAAAAGGCTATATATTTTGTTTGTATGTACTGAGACCTTATTTAAGAGTACCTGACCATGAACAAGAACTATTAGATTTAGTTTGAATCAGTTCAATGCAACATAGGGTCATTCCCTGTCAACTCTCCCAGAGGCCCCAGCTCAAATTTGAGATTTTTATGCAGGTGAAATACAATAATTAATGAAAAAGACAAAATACTAAATGTCATAGATGCATATTTACAGAGTATTCTATGAGTTTTTTTAGAGAGAGGTCAAAATGGCAATATTCATGGATTCTGATTCTTACACTTTTCCTTTGGTCTCTACATTATTAAGTTGTCTATTTCTAGAGATATTGAGATCTTAGTATGGCTCCCTGAAAAAATACATGTTGCAAAATGTACACATTTACAGTGGTAAAAAAACAAATGTGAGTCAATTCGCATAAAGCTGATACTTAAAATGAATGCTGGAACAACAAACAGTGATAATACTAGATGTATCTTGTTTCATTTAAGAAAAAAAGTTATTGCATATAACATACAGTACTTGCCCAAGTGTTGAAAACATTATCCAAAGTTTTTGTGGCAGTAACTCAAAGAATATTAAAAATATATAAAAATAAGTTTTTGATTCTGGGTTTAAACAAGCTTTTCCTAAATTGTTTAACTTTATTAAATAACTATATGGTTCATATCCAGACATTGATTAATTGATTGATTGAGTTTTAATTTTTACTAATGTATTATATAACTTACGATGATTTGAACTGTTGATTCATTACAATGCAGCTCTTTGTTTGCTGCTAGGATCACAAAGGTTTAGAAATGACATTTCTTATGGTGTATATTAGTGGTCTATTGACGATGGCCGATCAAATCAGTTATGGGTTTACTGGGCACAGAAGCCAAGTGCAGTTTTACAAATAAAAGTGGATCTGTACATTTCTAAAACTTCAGTTTGCAAAACAAGACCAAACCCAAACATACATTTACAGTCCAAACCATTCACTATGATGAAACCTCTGAGAATGAAGTAATAATGGCCTTATTTTTTATGACATAATAAGAAAAAAATATCTGTATAATTACTCATGTTTTAATGTTATATTTAAAAAAATCACATCTGCAAAAATTTTATTTTCCTAAACATCAATGTGTGAGGGCAATCACAAATGTGATATTGATTTTCATACATCAGTTCAACTAACAAAAGTTTAATACTGAGTTACGGCTTTAAATGATATTTTATTGACTGTCGATACAGGCAAGGCTGCTGTCTTACTGCTGTAATATTTGAGTGCAGTGTTGGACACAGTTGACCATGCTGTTCTCATTTCACGCTTTGAGCACTGTGTTGGTATTCGGGTGAATGCTCTTAAAAGGTTTCAGTCTTATTTTACACTACTAATAGAAGATTTTCTGTCAGTATTTTTTAATTTATGTCAGATACTGCTCTGTTTACTTATGGTGTCCCGCGGGGCTCTATTCTTGCTCTGATTTATGGTCTTTGTACAGTACAGTATATACTTTCTTTGGGTTGTTTTTTTAATGAAACATTGGCATTTCTTTCCACTATCTATCTGGCCTTGGAATCTGGCAACTTCGACTTTGACACTCTTCATTTTATTAGGAATTGTGGTTGATTTTGAAATTCCTAAATGGTTTAGCTAGCACCTTTATACCTGTACATGTCTGTGTGTTCATAAAGGTCTCTTAGGTCAACCAACCAGGTACTGCTAAATGTTCCTCAAGCAAGACTCTGGCCTACCAGTTTTTATTAGCTATGCTCCATACGCTTTATGATTTAAATATTTTTATTTTTTTGTGCGATTTTTTTTTTTATTCTTTGAAAGTTTGGCGTATATTTTACAGCACCTTCAACTCTTGATTTAATGATGCTATAGTAGTAAAGTTGATATACATAGCTTTTTTTCACACATAAAGCTGGAGCAGATCTTTTGCACCCCACAGGGCAACTGGAATGATTCAATTAATTTCTTTTGAAATAATCGTTTAAGTCAGGCTGTCCTTACTTTAAATATTGTCTCCTGGTTTAACTACCTCTCTGTTAAAAGCAAAAACAGACTTTTAAGAGTAAAAAAATTGGTGAGAGACAAACAACACTCATTGATCTCTTTAGCGTTGCTTTAAAAAGGATAGCCATTGGAGACTCTTCCTCTGTATAGATCTTTTCAGTTTCATCCATCTTACTAAATAAAGTGTCTTTGGTGAAACGGTTCAAGAATAAGATGTTTTTCACAACAATAATTGGTTTTTCTAGTAGGATCTCAAATTGATTTTTTTATGCATTGTCATTGTCAGTTGGGTTTTCATACTTTACAACAGTGGTGCTCAACCCTGCTCCTGGAGATCGACCTTCCTACAAAGTTCAGCTCAAACCCTGATCAAACACAACTTAATCAATTAATTAGGACCTGAACAGCACTTGATAATTATAGGCAGGTGTGTTTGATATAGGTTGCAACTGAAATCTGCAGGAAGGTCGATCGCCAGGAACAGGGTTGGTCACGTCTGCTGTACACTATAAAAAGCAATAGCTGTTCTCGCTAATAAAAATCAATTGCAGTTAACTTTTTATGATTACGTTTGTTCACCTTACAATATTTTAACATGTAACCCCAACTTTTTAGCACATTAAGTTGTTAAACTGAATAGAATCAAGTAAACAGTCTGTAAAGGGAGCCAAACTGTGGAATGATTTAACTGTTAGGCTACAATCAGAAAGTAATATGAATATTTTTAGTAGTGTTTTTAAAAAGTGTTTAAAAACAAAACAGCAGTGTTTGCACAAATAGTCTACTGTTAGTTTGTTGGATCATGTTGCCATTGCTTTTGCTTTTTTATGTAATGAATTATAAAGTTGTGTATATGTTTTTTTTTATTATATTTCCATTTTGTCAATTTTTTCAAGCCTCATGGACAGTTGTTGAGAATTAGCAAGTTTGCTAGAACACTTAAACAAATGCATCTGGTTGTCCAGTGTAATTGTGATGTCCATGTCAAATAATAAAATAAAAATAAAAAAATAAATAAAATCTAAATTAACAATATGTATTCACAACTGTTGAGTGGTCATGTGTCAAAAGCATGTTAATAATAGAGAATGGTGATGAGGGAACTGGGGAAACAGGTGGAAGAATTCAAACGTGAGCACAATCAGACATTCTGTCGTTTTCTCTCCAGCTTATTCCCTTTATTATTCTGGGGTTGCCACAGTTAAATGAACTGCTAGCTTATCCAGCATATGTTTTACGTAGCGGATACCCATCCAGCTGCAGCCCATCACAGGGAAAGATCTATACACACTCATTCACACTTACACACTACGAACAATTTTAGCTTACCCAATTCACCAATAGCGCATGTCTTTGCACTGTGGGGGAAACCGGAGCACCCGGAGAAAACCCACGCGAACACGGGGAGAACATGCAAACTCCACACAGAAATGCCAACTGACCCAGTCAAGGCTTGAACCAGCGACCTTCTTGCTTTGAGACGACAGCGCTACCCACTGTGCCACCGGGTCACATAATCAGACATAAGCATAATAAATCAGAGAGCTTTTTCAATTCTTTGATGTTCAAAATTGATAAACATTTATAAAAATTAACATATAATATATTAATAAATGTCATAATATTTAAATGACTATTAAAATCTATTATTATTATTATTATTATTATTATTATTATTATTATTATTATTATTACTACTACTACAATAAACCTTGGTTAAAAATTACTTGTTATATTGCTTTTTTGAAGTGTATGTATTGTTTTTTTTAGAGTGGCACGGTGGCACAGTGGGTAGCACTTTCACCTCACAGCAAGAAGGTCACTGGTTTGAGCCCCGGCTAGGTCAGTTGGCATTTCTATGTGGAGTTTGCATATTCTCCCCGTGTTCACGTGGGTTTCCTCCGGGTGCTCCGGTTTCCCCCACAGGTCCAAAGACATGTGCTATAGGTAAATTGAGTAACTAAAATTGTCTACAGGGTATGTGTGTGAATGAGTGTGTGTGGGTTTTGCCCAGTGATGGGTTGCAGCTGGAAGGAACATATGCTGGATAAATTGACGGTTTATTCTGCTGTGGCAACCCCATATTAATAAAGGGACTAAGCCGAAAAGAGAATGAATGAAAACAACATGGTGCAGCTAAATATCAACTTCAATTTACAACCCTGGGAGTAAGTAAGGTATTGGTTTTTGTCTTTACTTAAATGTTTTAGTTCAGCTAACTTGATAATTTTAAGGCAATCGGTTTCCTAATATTTTCCTAGTAATGTGTGTGAACACTAATGAGAAGTTAACACAACTAATTACTTTGAGTCTGAAGTTACCTTTATTAAGAACTTGTAAATACAAATAAGTTATGTTTACTTAAAATTAATACACTACTTTAATTAGAAATTTCAAGGCAATCAGTGGTTTTCTCAATTTTTCTAAGTAAGGTCAAGTTATTACATTTTACAGTGTATGTAATGTAAATAGTTTGTAAATAGTATAAATAGTACATTTTGCCTTCCCACTTAATAATAAAACATTTTAAACTTATAAACTGAACTGATTCAATTCACGGACAAAACGAATCAGTTGTTCAATTAAGCTGCTATGTCATTGACATAGCATTGAAATTGAATAGTCATTAATAAGCTTTAACACAATTCAAAACAAATTCCTTTCAGTTGTGTCTCACCAAATTCATCCGCAGAAAAATGCTGGGTCCAGAAGGACTGTCCATTGGTTAATGTCATTTCATATTCCAGCTGCAGTCCATCTCCCTGTGTTGCATAGTGAAAGAGAAAGAGAGAAATTAGAGGAGGTGTAAATGCGAGCGAGGAAGCTGCAGAGACCATACAAACACTGAGTGCACAAATAGATCTCTGGGCTATAAAAGACTTCAAAGCAGCACCGTTTCTAGCTGTAGAGAGGATTTCGGCCCGGCTTAATAAAAGAGAAACACTTTGATTTCACTTGGCAGGAAAAACCCATTCCCTCTCTCCAAAAAGGTGATGTGCATGAAGTATCACCAAATCAATGTGGCCAGAGAGGAAAGAGAGAGAAAGAGACGGACAAAGATATGGAGCTGGAGAACGACAGAGAAAAGACTGTTAGATACAAAGAGAATGAGCATGAAAGGATGAAGCGAGTAATCAAAGATTGTAACAGAAGTTATGAGGCATTCGTCTGGCCAGTGTAAGGAATAGGAGAAAAGAAATTGGCAGCAGGCACAGAGAAGCTCCCTCAGGGACTGTGCTTTGGAGACAATGCTTTACTTCAGTCCAACAGGATTTAGTATCGTGTCCATCAGCCTGCTTCCATCCATGAAACAGCCCTTTACATTTTGCTCCATTTGTCTGGCTAAAATCCCATCACATCTTGTACCTCTCCAATGCTACAGGCGCATCACTTCAAGCATCTACAACAAAAATCGCTCAGTGAGATTTGAAAAAGGTCCAGTTCAGCACTGAGACTCTTTATCTATCAAAATATACTTTGAATCACTTCTTATTTGCCCTGTATGAAAGCAGGACTCTGGATTATATGGTTAGAAAAATGGAAGAAAAAAAAAAACAGATTTTGCATGTGTCATTCAATGTATTCAGGTAAATATTTAAGAAGTGAAAGCTTTAAAAACATTTTTGGATAAAAGTTTGTTCCATTTATAGTTTTGACTTACCAAATGTGCCTTGAATAATTCATAAAATGATATAAAAAATCAAATTCACATTATTGTAGCATGCATTATTGTTTAACTCTCTGTTTTTATACTAACAATTTACAATTTTAAATTGTAATTTTATTAATTTTAGTAATATTTAATTGCATTTGTTATGCGTATTTAAATATAATGTATATTAATATATTATATTAAATCACATTCTATTAATTTTTAAAATTATTTTATGTTAGCAGTTTTTAAATATTACTATTCATTTTTAAATATGCTTTTAACTTTAGTACTTCTGTTGTAGTTTGTATGTGTATATGTATGTCAGACCTGTAGCCAGCCTGGTAAAGGGGGTAAATCTTTTTTATGTCAAAAACTGTACCTTTTTGCAGTTATTTGCCTCATTTCTTATTTAACTGTGAGGTTTAAATCCTGCATTTTACTGAAAACACAGTTTTTTTCTGGATTAGCTTGTCGGTTGGTCATCATAAACATACTTTTTAATGTACCAAAACTTTTCCTAAAGATTTTAAATATAAATACAAAATATAATTTTTTTATAAATAATATTTAAATATAACATTTATAAAAATATTTTTTAATGCATCACATCATATATAATTAGGGGGAAAAGGAATCTGTTAAAAGTTTAAATTAAAAACAGCCTGTTAAAGCTTAGTAACATTTTGTCATTTAATAGGCAATAAACTAGCCGGCACATTCAAGTTTACTCAGTCAGAATTTGTCCACTTGAATAATAAAAATTTTAATGTAATAATAAGTAAAAAGAACATTTGAAAACTCATGGATAACTACGATAGCATTATTAGTATTTAAATTAACTTTTATATGCTTCAAAATTAACTTTTGGCGCTTCATACCTTTTTCGCCTTTTTGTTTCTTTCAAGAATAAGGTCCAAGATTTCGAATAAAAGTTGTTGCTATTTACCAACATAACAGTAGGTAAGGAATGAAAGATAATGTCACTTACGCCAGATTCTTCCCAGTCTTAATGCCTTTTTTAATGGACTATTTTCACAATTTATGATAGCAGTTAAAATTGGACAAATGAGCTCATGTGGGAAAAATTCTGGACCTTTGTCAGTAAGGGGTGAGTCTCCCAAACCAACCGAACCCCCCTGGCTCTGAGCCTGCATGTGGGTGTAAATAAAAAAATAAATAAACATATATATATATATTTATATATATATATATATTTTTTTTTTTTTTTTTTTTTTTTACTTATATAATTTTTCGATTTTTCTATTTTATTTTTAAAAAATAAAGAAAAATAAAGAAAGATTAATTGAATATCAAACATTTATATAATTGTTTCAATTAAATAGGTACTTAACATTTTTAGTTTATGTAACAACACTGCTTTTATACATTGACTTCACATCAACCGCACAAACACATCATCAAGTGAAATGCATATCCTTTTTTTTTACTATATTTTCTCAGATGTCCCAGACACCACCACATAAAATAAAACAAGACAAAAACATCCAATTTAAATAATGCCCCATTCACATTTTCCTTCCCAAGATAGCTCTTTAATCCAGGCTTCACTGAGTAACCATTATGTTGCTTGATATGTTCATTAAAAATATCACTTTACCATTGTACTTGATGCATAATCAATCTAGCGTATTATTTGGCAGAATTACACAGCTATTCATCCTGAAGTCATTAATTATACCTAAGGTACAATAAGCTAGACTGCTTTAGGCACCAGTGTATTGTTTACTGATTCACACTCACCCCGCACTTGCTGAGCGCGATGTACCACCATCTCTCTCTGACAGAACGAAAACTTCGACCTCCTACACAGCTCAGCATCTCTTCATTACCTTCGCCTTCCACCTGACAGAGGCAGATACAAAACATACGGTTGCACAAAAAAGCTGATTTTCTCTGCATATTGGTTAAGCACTGCTTCGCCAGAAAATGGTTAGAATTTACTGTTGATTAAATTTTGTTTTTTTATTCTATCCATGGTAATATGCACAAGCAATGATTTCATAAAAATAAAAAAGCACACATAAAAATATGTAAATACTATGTCAGGTTTAATTAATGCAAGTTTGATTTGACTCAACCGATGGGGAATATATTAGGGTAAACAGTTCAAGCCCTGATACTGTATATTCAAGGCAAATCATTCTTCATTCAACGGTACAAAAAATCTTCTTCTGTAAGTAAACAAGTCAAAGCCATCCACACTACTGTGATAAGTGTCTGGATGAATATGTAGATACGTTCAGTGAGCTTCCTCTCAGCAACAAAATAAACAGACAACTAAAATGACGGCAGTTAAAAAGCATCTGATCATAGTGATGTGGGTATGTTTGCTTGAGCTCTGCATTTCAGCACTCTACTCAAGTCACGTCATGTTTATTTATATAGCACTTTATGCAGTGCATTGCTTTAAAGCAGGCAGCTAACAAACAAAACAAGTGTTGCTTCAGTTAGAATAACATCCTTTTATTTTGCATTGATATTGTTTGAAATGGCATCACATCAGTTTGTTCTTCAGTTTCACTTGAAGTATATCAGGGCCTTTATTAGGGCTGTTCACACTTGACATAATTAACCCTGGATCATTACAAACCCTGGATAAAATGAATCCTGGATTATCTTGCTTCTATCTTCTAAACGCTCTTTCACAAAGGATGCAGCAGTCAAGAATGTCTGGTTTATTTATCAATGGTGGAGATTTGGAAAGCAGCCAAATACACAATCAGCCAAACAGAGGTAGTGCGCAGGGTCTGTGCAGTTGTAGAGAACCGAGTAAATCTTGTCGAAATTTAGTACAACAAACAACATTTCTTAAGAACAATTCTTGAAGGAGACAGAAAAAAATGGTTCCCTCATAAGTTAACCCCACCATTGCAACATCTACCATATTGCGGTAATTATGGAATGGGGTGCACGCTCTAATGATGGCGCTCAAAACTGCAAACTTTGACTACCATCTCCACCAGAGCAGATCTTGAAGTGAGTAGTTAAGTTTGGCCTCCTCTACACAAGGGGTGTAGATGCCCATGAACCCCCAAAATTACAATGCCAGTGACTCGCAACCACAAAAATCCTTTGAGGTGGTTATAAATATATAAACCTTGCACACAATGGTGCACACATACCAATAAGCTCAAGTCTATTCTTCATTTAATTTTGAAGAACTCCATTTAGAGACTAGTCTCCATGTTTAGTTGTGGCCTGTATTTTGTTTAATATGTGAGTGCTGTAAAGGTGTCAGAAATTTTAACCTGGTACCATAAAATTAAAGTGCTGTGTCTTTAATCTAACGTAATCAACCTATGGAGGTCGCAAAAAAAAATAAAAAATCTAAAGGCTGATAGCTTTTTATTTGCACATTGTTTTTTAATGTAATTATTAACAACTATTTTTTTCTTCTGTGGGTTATGGATATTTATCCTTCATTAATTTTCTTTTCGGCTTAGTGCCTTTATTAATCTGGGATCGCCACAGTGGAATAAACAGCTAACTTATCCAGCATTTGTTTAATGCAACGGATACCCTTTCAGCTTTAACCTATTACTGAAAAACAAACAAACACACTTATACACTACAGACAATTTAGCCTACTAAATTCAATAGGTTATGGATAAAATATGGTAGTTCTAACAGTTTAATAAAATTAATTTGTTTTTTGGAAGTCACCAAATGACTCCCCCCCCTCATTGTCTTGCAACCACTACTCTGGGAACCACTGCTCTACGCTATGTTTACGTAGAGGAAAATCTTTTTAATATTGAAAATAACTTTACAGTGTTATGTTTGCACCATGACAGTGCTTGTGTCTATTGTAAACATTACAATCCCTCAAGCAGGCAACGATATTAATGCAAACATAGCAGACTCATTGAAAAAAAAAACATTGTGCATAATCTGTATTAGAAAGCATTCACTTAACCCGATGTCTAAGTAAATAAAATAGCCTTGACAGCAGCATTACTGACTGAGGCTCCACATCTACACTGACTTTGTTATCTTTCACTATTACAGGACTCAGATGTGCAAAAGAGGAAAGCTGGCACTTTCAGTACTTACAGTATACAAAGTATTTTAGCAGTCGTATTGTTTTATCGCTTCGCTGCACAATTATTAAAAAAATAAAACATTAATTACAATTCAGGCGACGCGGTGGCACAGTGGGTAGCACGTTCGCCTCACACTCACAGCAAGAAGGTCGCTGGTTCGAGCCTCGGCTGTGTCAGTTGGCATTTCTGTGTGGAGTTTGCATGTTCTCCCCGTGTTCTTGTAGGTTTCCTCCGGGTGCTCCGATTTCCCCCACAGTCCAAAGACATGTGGTACAGGTGAACTGGGTGTGCTAAAATTGACCGTAGTGTATGAGTGTGTGTGTGTGAATGAATGTGTATGGATGTTTCCCAGTCATGGGTTGCGGCTTGAAGGGCATCAGCTGCTTAAAACATATGCTGAATAAGTTGGTGGTTCATTCCAATGTGGCGACCTCAGATTAACAAAGGGACTAAGCTGAAAATAAAATGAATGAATGAATAATTACAATTCACAGCATTTTTTATCAAGCTAGACATCCTTCATACAGAGGGTGCTCCTGTCCACCATGCGTGGAGTTACACCTATGATTGTAGTAGAATTTTGGTACATTTTACAGAAAGCTGTCTTGTTTATCAGGAGGCTTAAGATTTGATCTATAAACACCTCACATTACCAGATAATCTGGGCCAAACATCAGAACCGAGGTGCTGGACAAGATTTGCTCTCAGATTGTCAGGAAGATTGTCAACCTCCAGTAAGCTCGAGTCCAGCTTAACAGCGTGAAAGCAGCGCTAACTCTGAAGGGTTTCACAAAAATTGATGTTAACCCCACTTCTAAATGACAAGTCTGAAATGTTCCTTTACTCTGCATTAAAAGCGGTGTTTAGATAACCTGGCTGACAACTTAGGGTTAAGTGCACTTTGAAATGTCCAATTTTCACAATAGCTTTTGGTGGTGTTGTACATTTAAACTGCAATCGCTTGATTTCAAACACACAGACTTTAAAGACAAGTTTGTTTCTTACCATACATCCAGACCAAGTGTAGCGGGTGGTCAGGTTGATGACCTGGTTATTTTCAGGCCTCAGTACTGACTCTTTCTGGTAGCAATCCTGTTGAGTAAATGAACCCTTTATTAGCAAGCATGCTCTCCGCGGGATTTCAAACTCCCACTAACAACAACAAGAGCTAAAGCACTAAGTAGCAGATTAGGACTGAAGGAGTGTGATGAGGAGCAAGGGCTTCCTTCAGTATGAGCACTTTTGCATACAGTCCCGCAATGCAGATCCTGCCTCAGGGAGGAAGAAAATTTGCTGTGTTTAAATGTGCACATGCACTGACACTCGTGTCTTTCTGGAGACTGGATTTGGGCTCCTAATCCACAGAGCACTGCTGACATTTCTCCTTTAATCCTTATACTTTCTACTTTTGATGCACAACACACACATTCATGCTGCTGCTGTTTGTTCACCCACACATGCGGTCAGTCAGTGCACTCAATATTTTCACACACACAAACACAAAGTCTGTCAGTGTGTGTCTCACCTTGTCCGGCCTCTTGTACACAGCTGGCCACTGAGAGCTTTCATCAAAGTAGAGCAATATGTTCTGACAGCATCGGGACTTTCAGCAAAAAGCAGACAGAGAAAGAAAGAAATGGGGAGGAAGACAAGACAGATTAATATATAGATGGAGAGAGAGATTAATACTTGAAATTTCCATGCACAACCAAGTCATTTTGAAGATCTATTGAGTGTATCAACAGAAAATAATGACAAATGACAACAACTGATCAGAACAGTGTGACAACATCATTTAATGGTTACTTTTTAAAATATTTGATTATAACTTTACTGTAAACACTTTGTAACACTTTGCAAATGTTTGTTTGACAACATAAATTACCTAAATTAAATAAAAATTTCAGGAACATATTATATGGATATGACATTTGGTATAATTGATAAAGGGGTGGTCAGAGTGTATTTTTGAAACTTGGTTGTGTTTATAAGATGCAAATCAATGTGTGCTCATGCTTCATTTGTAAAGAATCATGTTATTTTTTCATTTATCTTACTTTGATTACAGCTATTCAGCTAACATGAAATCAAGAGGCCCTGATTGATCAGCTAACATAATGTGCTGTAATTCGCGGATTGGCCCCACTTTACTAGGAAAAGCCTCACGCACCTTCAAGCACACGCTTTTGCGCTGTGTAAACACTGTCAGTCAGAGAAGCTGTTAGCTGTTTCAGTTTGAGCCTGAATCAGACAGAAAATGACACAGAGGACACAGCTGAACCTCACGTCTGCTCTCTAAACTAAAATCTAACAAGTGTCTTTCACATATATTCAGGTTATAAGCAGGTGTAAGTAATATAAAACGTTCACATATCTTTTGCGAGTTTGTTATTTGAGATATAGAACGCACAGAAAGCGGCCGCATAGAGACACTGCAGCACTGCTGATGATTGTGTTTGCAGGGGCTTGACGGATAAATATGAATTTGTAGCTGAATTGTTAACGGTGCCAAACAGCATTTCCCATTGTTTACATGCTTGTTTACATCCACGCTACATCATACCTCTAATGATAGAAACTGTGCATGTAGTAGATCAATTTTAACAAATAAAAATACTTACAGGCTGTGGCTCACAATCTAATCTGTAGGGTTTGCCAATCTAAAAGCCAAAGTCTCCCTTTACATAGAACTTTGAGCGTATTACATTCAGAGATGTTGTTTATGTTCATTATGTACATTATACATGAGCTAAAGTTTAAAATATGACATCGTAGTGGACCACCCTTTCAACAATTCTCAACTTATAATATTTATATATTTTTTATAAATATAAAAAAATATTTTGTTTAGGTGCAATCCACCTATTAATTTTTATGTTGTTTTGCAAAAACCCTTTTGTGTCAGTTTGTGAAAATGAACATTTACTCACACTTCACCTTTTCCAAACCTAAACACATTTCTATATTCTGCAAAAACAATTAATTTCAAAGAAGATTGGTGACTAAACAATTGACAGAAGGAATTCCTTTGACAGTAGGACTCCTTTGGACTCTTATAGATTTTGTTTGTGAGTCAATGACTACTGAAAATCTCTCAGATTACCAACATTCTTCAAAATTTTTCCAGAAGAAACAAAATTGGGATTAGAACAAATGAAGAGTGATTTAAATATATGTTTTATTGTTATGCAAATCTTACCTTAACTTCGCAACATCCCAAAGCACAATGTCCTACTTTTTACTTTACTGCATTTCATAAGAACACATCGTTCCTTTTTATTTTGAACAGGAGAAATCACCACTCTCTCCACGATGCAGTGTCCAATTTGTGAATGAGCTCATTTTATTCAGCCCAACCTGTTTAAATCGGTTCACAAATTGCACTGAGCAGTTCATTCATAAATTTGACTGATCTAATTGCATCTGTTCTCGAGTCAACTCAGAAATTTAAATGATCCAGTTAGAGCAAGTCTGCAGTTAATCATTTACTGATTTAAATGATCCGGTCAGAGTGAGGAGGATTTATTATAGTAATTTATATGTAAAAACTAAACATAAACCTATAGTAATTCTAATTAATTTCTGTGCATCATCTTTGCTGCTGTGTGATGTTTTTTATATTACTTAGTTTTATATGCCAGGCTATATGACATATTTTATAATTTGCACTTGTTTGTATACTAATTAAGTAGTACAGCTGAATGATACTGGGAAAATAAGCAGTGAGTTATATGGTAATGAATTTCTTTGCGATATAACATTTCGCTAGAAAAACTAACTTTTTAAAAACATATTTATATAATGACTACACTGAAATAAACAGGTAAATCCTTTTCAGATCTAATTAATTCTAATTAAGGCTAAAAAACAGTGTCATGGTGCAAACATTTAGAATTTAAACACTATAAATGAGTGAAAACCTCTGCAGATATTCTTTTATTGGCTGTTGACATTTTCCTCTCTAGTCTTGACTCTCAACATTATTTATTTTCAGCTCTAGGTTCATCTGATTAAATTTGGTTAAACAAGCTTTGGACAAAATTGGCTAAACAAGAATGCAACTTACAAATGCTTAACACATAAACTAAACATTGATTATCACACCTATCTGTGATATGGGTATTGCATTTATTATTGATAAGATAAAAATACTTTTTCAATATATTGTGCATCTCTATTAAGTAGTAGTTATCAGTAAATGATTAGTTTTAGTCATAAAAAAGTGTTTAGTCATAAAATAAAACATCTTGTACATTTACTTCCGTAATTAACTACTATCATACTTGTACTAAAAAAAAAGTAAAAAGAAGTACTCCATAATTTTACTGCTTTTAAAAATATTTTATTAGGGTATCTATATTTTTAAAAGCAGTAAATCAAGTATTTTTTTATTTTACTTTGTTCATTAATGCAATGGCGATGACAAAAAAAAAAGAAAATATGGCAAAAAACAAAAAGTACAGCTTTAATTTCTGCTTCTTTATATGTACTTTTACAAAAAAAAAAATATTAAAAATAAAAAAAAACTGCTTATGAGTGCAAACTTTTTTCAAACCAGGCTCACTGGAGATGTGTGACCAGGGCTAGATTTTTGAGAACTGAGAAATATATAGCAGTGGCTATGTCTTCTTGCAGATTTTGTTTCCACAAATCCTCTTGAGGTCGTATACATTTCTGCCAATCTAAATGTCAATCTCACACATGTCCTTGAGATAGAAGCCAGTCAGCTTTTCATGCATAACATATCAGCTAGCTATCGCCTGACCCAACCTCCCCCTTTCCTAAACCCCAACCAATAGTGTTTTCAAAAGCAAACTAGAAGAAAAAAAACTGCGGTTCTGTGCTATTACCAAGATTTCAAACTGCTTTTTTGGGGTTCTGTTTTACCTGGTTTCTGAAACTGTCCTTTGTTGGACAGAGACACACAGAATGCAGCCATTATATGTACTTCAGGGCACATAATTCTCAGGCCCCGTTTACACTAGTGCGTTTTAGTTTTAAAACGGCGTTGTAGAATGAAAACGATCCACGTCCACACTTGCGTTTTACCCAGCGTTTCTGAACAGCTCTCCGTCCACACCAAAACGCTGAAAACGCACATCACGTGACCACACACACACTCTCGGGCAAGCGCTCCAGCATTTCTACCCAGATGAGAGCTCTGCTTGTCGGACTGCTCATCAAGCATCTCCCGCTGGATCTAATCTCACTATATTTGCTAAACGTGATATTTCATTCATGTTGTTGTCTTTATCTAACGACATAGGCCAATTCCCTGACTTTGGTCATTGGAATCTATTAAGTTACTTGTTTACGGGTAACATTGGTTAAGCGCAAAGATAAGTTAATGATTAATCCAGGTACATTGACTGATCGCTTACCTTTATTTCCTACAATGTATAAACTTATTGTATGTTATACTTTTATAATTATCGATTATTAAAACTAATATTCAGCAAAAGAGAGGGTGTGTTTCGTATTTTCACTGAAATTGAAAAGAGGCAGTTGTTATCGGCTCCGTTTTGTTATAAATATCCACACAGTGAAGATGACGCTCATATATGCAGCACGACGCCTCAACATTTCTGCTGTCTGTTTAGTTGCTAATATTAAAATGAAAATAGGCAGTTCCTTAAATCATGTTTACATTTTATTGTTGAGAAAGTGAAACAACGTAGCCAAGGTGATGTGAATGAAGTTATAAAGTACACTGTTCCCTTTGAAGATTTACCCGTGTCCTCGGTATGTTTTCCATATCAAACTGAAAAGGGGGAGACTGCAGCCTTGATCAAACTTGCAAAGTCTGAACTTACAAGAAGAGGATGTGAGACTGAACTGTGTGTGGGCTACTTAATATTGAGGAAAAGCCCCAATCAGATAGGCGAACGTTTGCAGCCCCGCCTCCGTTTTCAGATGTCTCCGTCTTTCCCCATCCACACTGAGACGGAGCAGCAGCGTTTTAGAATGAAAACGGCCTCTCCAGCGTTTTCAAAAAGCTCCGTTTTCGGCGCTCGAGAACTCCGGCGTAGTGTGGACGGATGGCATAACCGTAGCAAAACTTATGCGTTTTCAAACTAAAACGCACTAGTGTAAACGGGGCCTCAGTTCTCAAAAAAAATGCCTAGTATTCCCATATTCTGGACGCAAATAAATAAACACTAAACAATCAGCACTTTTACTTTTAAGAATTACTTGCGCAATCAACTACCTTCATACTTTTCCGAGAAAAAGTGAAAGGAAGTACTTAAGATTTTTTCTGCTCTTTAATATTTGATTAGGCCATCTATATTTTTATTTAAACCCTTCATCAATGTTCTTTGTCCAATAATGGAATCAAATAATTAATTTGCACATACATTAGTACCTTAAAAGTGTTGGGTTGTTTTTTAAACACAGTTTCAGGTAAAATATGGACAAAAATATGCTTAATTTTTAAATTACATTTTTATTCAAGCAGTTGGATTTGTTCATATTTTCCCAAATAATTTTGGGTTCAAACAACTCCACATTTTAATGAGCAATAGTTAAATATAATATAATATAATATAATATAATATAATATAATATAATATAATATAATATAATATAATATAATATAATAAAAGTTAACATAAAATAATATAATGTGGATCCAGATAAACAAGCAAGCAAACAAATAAATGAATACAATCACGTGCACCCATTAGATTATTAGATATTTAGTAAAACATTTGTAATCAGGTCATAGGCATTAATTCAAACTTTAATCTTTAATCTTACCTTGGGGTATCGGAATCTAAAGTTCAGTCGGCCAAAATCGGTCAGGAAGCAAAACCTTGTGAGGAAAACCCAGTCCTGTGAAGAGTGGAGGGGGGGGGGGGGTTGTTATATAGTGGCCGTGTCTGGATGTTAACCTTCATTCTGAGGAAAGACTCATGGGGTTCAAAAGAGACATTCATGCACTGCTTATCTGGAGACTCGCACAAACCATAGACATGCCCCTGCTAGCAGCAAACGCAACTGAGATTTGAGAGATTTTCAGCTCCAACACCCAGACATGACATCATTTAGCAGACAAAGCACCTTACAGCACATTTATAAGAAGGACGTTTTCCCTGGAGCTTGCTGAACAACACAATAGTGATGGCTCACAGCTTGCAGACATCGAACCAGCAGTCCTCTGCTTTCAAGCTCAAAACTCTACACCTGAAAATGCAGAAGTACAGTTTTATCTAATAGAAGTCTGACTTAACAGTTTGAATAGATAGTTTGGCCAGAAATGAAAATTCTGTCACCATTTACTCTCCCTCCACTAGTTTCTTTCTTCTGTTAGAACACAAAAGAAGTCATTTTGAAGAATGCTGAAAACCAGTTGCCATTCAACAGAGGACAGAAACCCATAATGGTTTGGAACCGCTTGGCGATGTGCAAACGGTGAATAAATGATAATTTTGGGGAGAACTATCCCTTTAACATCACATTCTCCTGTACAGTGGAGGGGTTAATGAAGTTCCTGCAGTGTTCAGTTAGGTCTCGTCTCTCAGACTCTCTTGAACTTGCGCCGACAGACACACATGCAGTCGGTGAAGTGTAAAATGGCAGTAAGTGCGCTCCAGCTTTCAGCCTCTCATCCAGATTAACTTCCCCCTCAGTGTCTACTGTTGGTGGTTTCCACAAGGACAGGTTTCCTTGACAATGCGGACATCAGCCTTAAGACTCTCTGAGGCAGAACTGAGGCCAAACAGCCATTAAGAGCCTGGCGTCACATGACCGAGCTGCTGAAAGACCACCTTGTCTCTCCAAAACAGAAGCACATGTAAAAAAGCACCTATGGTCAGTCAGGCAGTTAAACAAACACCCACTCATACAGGAGAAGAAAAAAATCCCTGGTGAAACTAAAATCTCAGGACTATTGTCATGGCAACGGACACTAAAGCACTTCACAGCTACTATAGAAACAGGCCCCCTGTATAAAACACCTTCTACGGCATATGACTGTCCATTAATCCTGGTTCATAAATAGAAGAATATAAATATAAACAAATTATTTCTGTTGAAACTATTTGCCCTGGAAAATAAATCTTAGTTTCTTATTTTTATGTTGATGTACTTTACCTTATTAAAACAAGGTATATGTGCATGCATATTTAAAACAAATGCAAAATAATTACAAGAAACACAAAATTACTGAAACTTTAACAAAAAATGGTCATTTATACAGAACTGAAAATGAAACATAAAAAGTTATCATTACTAGTAAAATACAATATAATGTATAATTACAGATCATATTTTAAAAAATCTGAGATGTGGTACTGGATATTTGCGTTAAGTAAAAGTTCAGTTTTACAAAATATACGCAATAATATTAAAAGTAATAGTCAAAGGATAGGAAACAGTAAGATCTGTTCATTTTTTTTAAAGAATTCTGCTCTCCAAGGCTGCATTTATTTGATCAAATTTACAGTAAAAATTATTACATTGTGATTTTTTTAGCCATTAACAATCACAATTATTAATTAATTCACAATTCATTACAATAGGATGTTTTTCTGCTCTATTATGATCAGTTATTATTGATACAAAATCACTAATAATGCTTCTTACAAATATTTGTGCTGAAAGTTTTTTTTTTTTTGCTTCATATTATTATGGAAACTGTGATACATTTCTGATACATTTTTTAGGATTCCTTGATAAAAAAAGAAAGTTAAAAATAATAGTATATGTATACATATTAGGGCTGCTCAATTTAGGGAAAAATCATAATCACGATTATTTAGTCATAATTGTAATCACAATTATTCAAAATGATTTGAAGTCAAAATTATTAGCGCTGCTGAGAATTTTTTTTTTAAAAATAAATATTTCCCAAATGATGTTTATCAGAGCAAGGAATTTTAACAGTATTTCCTATGATATTTTTTCTTCTGGAGAAAGTCTTATTTGTTTTATTTCAGCTAGAATAAAAGCAGTTTTAAATACTTTGAAACCTATTTTAAGGTCAATATTATTAGACAATATATATTTTTTATTGTCTGCAGAAGAAACTACTGTTATACAATGACTTGCTTAATTAAGCCTTTGAATCGCACTTTGAAACAGAAATTGGGGGAAAAGGGTTGCTAATATTCAGGAGAGCTAATAGTTCTGACTTCAACTGTATGCAGTTATTTTCCTCCCTGCAAAGGAAAGAGAAATAAATACAATAGAATAAAAATATGAAACAAACTGTGCTTTAAGCATCTTCACTGTAAGAAAAACACTTTAGCTACAAAAGTCCTTCAGTCAAGAGCAGCGAGGGATTATCTCCTTTTGTATTTGATTAATAATGATAAAAACAGGCGGCAGTCACTTTAATGGTTTCGCTTTCATGTTTCTTTTGATCCTCAACTTGTTTGTTTATTACTCAAATGAGGGTGAATATGAATTATCACTAAACACCGCGTTTTAACACCTATTTGACCATTAAAGCGCTCACATTAAGATGACTTTAGATGCTCTGATCGTCACAGTGTGCGAATGAGACCGAATGCTTCTGACTGTCCGTCACGCACACACACACAGGAGCATGCGGTTTAGTTCACGCTTTTAAGAGCAACAAATGTTTAGTGGATGTAATGTGATAATGGAATAATCCATGTAATAATGGAATAATCGTTTATCTCAATTAATAGTTTTTCATAATCCTCAGAAGCCAAAATCGAAAATGAAATCGGATTTTTGATTAATTGCACAGCCCTAATATATATATATATATATATATATATATATATATATATATATATATATATATATATATATATATATATATATGAGCAATATCACACAAGTAGCAGTGCGATATGACTGTGCCCCCCACCAGTGCTGATATACAGCCATATCGCACTGCTGCGATTGTGATATTGCGTTTATACAACAGTTTGATGGCATAATTGTGTATATAAAAACAAAATCAAACATGAAGAGTCTCAAAAAAAGAACTACTTTCTTCCCCTTTGGATTCAAATCATAAGCTGACAGTTAAACAGCTGAGCAAGCATCTTTTAAACTTGAGATCCGTAGTGTCTGCTTTTTGCTGGCTGTATGTGGGCGGGGTAATACACAAATGGTAAAAAGGCTGTACGGGTGCTGATATTACTTATATATATATATATATATATATATATATATATATATATATATATATATATATATATATATATATATATATATATATATATTAACAAAAAGGAGTTAATGATAGATGCGTTACTAAAATATGGCAGTAACCTAGTAATGTAGCAAATTTAAAGTTTCAAATTAAGATGGCAATGGCGAGGCAAGTAAAAATATGTATACCACAGCTTTACAGCCACTGGTATTGTTCCTTCCTCTTTCAAAGTTGCTGCTGTTCCTCCTATTTTAAAGAAACCTGGTTTAGATCCTTATAACCTCAAAAACTTTCGTCCTATTTCCAACCTTCTATTCATCTCCAAAATTCCTGAAAAAACTGTCGCTGCTCAACTTCACACTCATCTTTTCTGTAATAACTTATACAAACAATTCCAGTCTGGTTTTGGCCCACTCCATTGCACTGAAACAGCTCTCCTCAAAATGACCTTGCCCTAGCAGCTGACTCTGATTCACTATCCATTCTCCTTCTGCTTGATCTAAGTGCAGCTTTCGACACAATCTCAAAACATTCTTCTTGACAGGCATGCTTTAATTGGCATCGGTAACACACCTCTCAGGTTTCATTCATACCTCTCAGGTAGAGCTGCACAATTAATCAAAAAAAGATCGCGATCTCGATTCTAACCCCTAGGCATAGACAATCTTAATCCAGCATTTCTATGATTCTGACAATCATAATTTCAAGATCAGGAGAGAATCAAAGGCGGCTGCACGAGACTTTTTATTGTTTCACATACATTGCTCAGCAACATGGACACCTCTAAATGATGTTTAATAGGCACCTACTGTATTTATAAGGTATTATTCCCCCAAAAATCTCATTTTTGTCTTCATATAATGCTGTATTCGTGGCCGGGAAATCACACCTGATGTAAGCTGCTGACCATGAGTTGTTACCACATTTATCCACTATTATCTGTTTAATAACAGGTAATAAAGTTGTAAGTAATATTCAGTTTGTGGTACAGAGATCATTTGGGAGCCGCATGCGAAGTATGAACAGCACTTAGCAGTGAAAATGAAACCGAAAGCATGCACATCATTTACATAATCATATGGCAATTTAGAGTTGTGATTGCGACAAGCATTTGATGTTTTTTTCTTTCATAGCGAACACACAGTTGTGTATGAAAATACATGTTTAGTGTCAGTATAACTACTCTAGCCAATAAAAAGTTGATTTTAGCAGTGAATTAAATGGTCTAATAATGTTTGCAAGCATAGTTCTATATCTCAATCATAATTCAACATCAGAATTATTATAAGTAGAATAGAATTATTTATAGAAACCAGTAGACCTGCACATAATATTATTATTGTTGTTTTACCCTATGTTTGAGAAAAAAACAATAATAATTGCTGACTCATATTAAGCTTTATTTTACATCGACAGAATCGTGATCTTTATTTTAAGCAAAAAAAAATCACGATTTTCATTTTAGCCAGAATTGTGCAGCTCTACTCTCAGGTCGCACTCAGTTCATTCAATTAAAATATTTTACCTCGTCATCAGTCCCCGTCAATACCGGTGTGCCCTATGCAGGGTTCAGTTTTGGGTCCCCTGCTATTTATCATCTATCTTCTTTCACTTGGTTATATTTTCCGCAAACACCGAATCCATTTTCATTGGTACACAGATGACACCCAGCTCAACCTATCAACCAAACCCAACCTCAAACTCCCACCTTCATCCTTTACTGACTGCTTTGCAGACATCAAATCCTAGTTCACCCTAAACCTTTCTGAAATTAATTGACAATAAAACTGAACTTCTACTAATAGGTACACGATCCACTTTAAATAAATCACATAGCTTTTCCATTCCCACAGATGATTCAGTCAGTACCCCCTCCCCTCAAGTTAAAAGTATGGGGGTCATCTTCGACAGCACCCTTTCTTTCACTGCACATGATAATAATGTCACCCAGCCCACTTATTTCCACTTTCGAAAAGTAAATCGTTTACGTCCTTCCCTCACACCTCATTCAGTTGCCATTCTTGTTCATAGTTTAGTCACATCCCGTTTAGATTACTGTAACTCCCTTCTGTTTGGCCTTCCTAAAAAAAACTCTTCATAAATTACAACTGGTACAAAATGCTGCAGCCCGCATTATCACAAAAACCCCCTCTGTCTGTCACATCACACCCATTCTTCAACAGCTTCACTGGCTTCCCATCTTTTCAGAATTAATGATAAAATACTTCTTCTCACTTTTAAAGCCATCCACAATCTCGCTCCTTCATACCTTGCTAACCTTGTTCATATCGCCACACCTTCTCGAACACTCAGGTCTTCTTCTTCCATACACCTCACTGTTCCCTCTGTTCGCCTTGTCACTATGGGGAGTAGATCCTTCAGCCACTCTGCTCCTCAGCTTTGGAATTCACTTCCTCCTGATCTCCGTAATATAGACTCTCTTTCACAATTTAAATCCAAATTCAAAACACGTTTGTTTAGAACAGCTTATTCACTTTAACCTGACTGCATTTTTAAAGTTTGTTTGTATTGTTTTGTTTTTGCTATTGCTACTATTTTTATTGTGTTTTTCCTTGAACTGATTGTTATAGCTGTCCTGTACGGTGACCTTAAGTGTCATGAAAGGCGTCTTTAAATAAAATGCATTATTAGTATTATTATTATTTTTTAATTTCTGCTTCTTTATATGTACTTTTACTACCAAAAAAAAATACAACTACTCATGAGTACAAACTATTTTCAACCCAGGCTCATTGGAGATATGTGACCAGGGCTAGATTTTTGAGAACTGAGAAATACCGGGGACTATGTCTTCTTGCAGATTTCTATTTTATTTTCACATATGCTTTAGAGGTCATTGCACATTTCAGTCAATTTAAATGTCCTTTTCAAACATGTCCATGAGACATGTAGCCAGTCAGCTTGTCATGCATAATATACCAGCTTGCTATCGTCTGACACAAACCACCCCCTTTCCTAAACCCAACCAAGAGTGTTTTCAAAAACAAACTAGAAAAAAAAAAGACATCAGCTGTGTGCTGTTGTGCTATTATATGCACCTCAGAGCACATATTTCTCTGTTCTCAAAAATGTAGCCCTGGGCGCACATTCTCAGTGACCCTGTGTTGACTATTTTTGTGCTTAACATTATGGCTCAAATTATGTTGACTGTTTTTAATTTGTACATTTGACTATAAGGTTAAACTCATTCTCTGTGTTGTGGTGTGGAATGGGCCTTAAAGTGTCACTATTAATCCTTACCATCCACCTCACCCCCAACAGACACTGCGTTGTAATACAAAGTAACTGAATAAACCACAGGGAGATGAGAGACATGACACACACACACACACACACACACACACTACATTAATCAAGCTCTATACCCAAATGCAGGATCCGGTCACTTCAGCCTCTCACTGTCTTTCCAGATCTCTGTCCACTCGCTAAGCCTCATTAACAATTAATTACCAATCAACTAGTCATGTCACCCTAGGTCCAGTGGGCTTTTAAATGATTCATCACTTAAGTAACACAACGGAGCAACACATAAATACACACACACTCACTTGACACATGCATATATATACTCACACATGCACTGACCTGAGGGCCCCTAGAAAGAGTCTGTGGCAATGCCAGTTACCCACAGGCAGACCTGCACAACCCTCTGGCCAGACTCCAGAGATAAACTCAAGATCATGGGTTTACCTCAAAGACAGCACCACTGTATCTTGTACTATTTTTAAAATGCATTTCATAAATTTTTAAAGATATTAACAACACTGCTCTTGTCTTAATGTTGTATCATCTATTTAATTTTAATATACACAGTGTAAAAGTGTATGTGTGTGTGTGGTCCTGTTGCTTAAAAAAATGTATTACATATTAAATGGTTTCATATATTTATTTATTTTTTTTATAAACATACATACATACATACATACATACATACATACATACATACATACATACACACACACAAACATACAGACACACACACACACACACACACACACACACACACACATATATAATAATTATTTTTTTAAATATAAAAATAATAAATATATGAAACTATTTAATATGTAATTAAAAGTTTGAAAACAACAGGACCAAAACATACGTAACGCATATTCAATGCTCAGCATAAATGAGTACAATAACATATTTGTGCATATATTAGATTAGTACTCGAACTAAACAAAAACTGAACAAAAAACTTAAATTCAAAAATGTGTTCACTCAAATTAATACTTTACAAAAAAAAATCATATAATTGTAATAAACAGGATAATTAAAATCTAAATATCCATCTACCTATCCTTAAAAAATAAAATGTAAGTTTTAAAATAGAATATAACATTTAAATATATTTAGACATATCATCACCTTAGAATGATAAGCTTCTATCTGACATTGTCAAAATTAAGTCATTGACATATTCTTATTAAATGACAACTTATTTACATTATAGGATGTTTTTATAAGTTGTTCACATTTTAAGACTTTTTATTTACAAAACAAATGTTACACAAATACTGTTTGCTAAATGGAATGCAAAAACTTTGAAGCTCAATAACTCAAAATCATTCAGAAAGCAGATAGAACCTTATAATTCCAAGGTGACGATGTGTAAACACACACAGACACACACATTCATATTTAAAAATATTTCAAACAACGTTTCCAATGTTGTATCTTTAAAAAAAAATACAATTAATTTTTTGTAGCATACGGTTAAAAAAAAGCTATACATAGGCATGTAATAATTTAATATATTTAACAAATATACTTAGATTAAAGAGCCAAAATGCTCTTTCAATGCTTATTATAGCCTTTACCAGGATAAAACATGCCAACAATGTACAAAGTGTGTGTATGTGTAAGTGTGTGCTTGGCAGTATTAAAAAAACGACCTTGTTAGGAAATAAACAGAAGTGAGATTAATGGCCCTTTTAACCACCTCATACAGAGACCCAAAACAGAGCAGGATCAGACCTTGGATACAGGCAGGGACAGAACAGGTTGCTTGTACGCTGCCTACAGCAAACAGAGGACAGCATCATCCACGGATCCCAAATTTAATTGGAAGAGACAAAAATCTAATTCATTACTTTCATGGATTAACCTGCCGGAATTATTTGCATTGTGTACAAATCTACATGAATATATTAACAGATAAAACAGAAAATGAAAGAATGTAAGATAAAAATGTGTGTATAAAAGCTATTTAAAGAAGAAAATAGTTTACCCTTCATTTTTTCCTATAATCTTTGTTGTTTAAATCGATGAGATGAAATAAATGCTGCAATAACTTTTTTAAAGCACAGTCAGTCTCACTGTTTCCTCCAGGCCAATATTTACTTTTTGCACTAGATATGTCTATCAAATGAAATCCAGAGTGCTCTATACATTACACTTCAGTCATCTAATCCACACAACAGCTATTAGGAAATTAAAGAAATTAACGCAGGTCAAGTTAGCACACACTCTATCATCAATACATTAGGTTTGTGTGAATGCTTGAATTATGTCCAAGAAACACATCGATACACATTACACACTGTCGCACCTTTATAAGCACACAGCGAAGCGACCTTAAACCAGTTTAGACATCAGCATTCGATAAATGCACTGCCACCGTGCTGTATCGACACCATAATATGAGCATCTTTGTCGACACACACCTGTAAAAGCGGATAAGAGTGTGCAAGTTGCTTGTTGGCGGTATGCCCGTGCCTGGAGGACGAATTACGCGTCCATTGGCTCAATAGCGGGGTGTGTAATGATCTTGATACACAGCACATTAAAGCATTAGACGTCCAGAAGCGTGCGAATGCAGAGGCATGAATACACACTTGGCATTAGAGCTCAGTAATAACAGGCATGAAGAGATGCGCAGCTAAAAACCGCCGGAAAACTCCGAATCATTTTCAGCAGCATAACAGTGACCAAAGGTAAACACTTCACTCACCTCTTTTGTGTTGACGATTCCTTTGACGTATTTCCCCAACACCGAGCCGACACATAACATACTGGACACTACGGCGAGTCCTAATACTTTCTCCATCTTCACCTGTCCACCGTAACGTTTCTGCGCTCTTCTTCTGATGCTGTGCGAGCAGAGGAAGATCTGCCCACTGTGGCTGCCAGACGCGCGCCCTCGTTCTCGCATGTATCCCCAGAATTGACGCCGGGAGCGCGCCTAGTACCGCACGCGCTTCGCAAGCGTAAAACGCGCGCTGCCGATATTTTATTGCGACATAGCTAGTCGCTTTTTATCGGTTTAACCCCTTCCGATCGTTGGCCACATCTTCACATTTTCATCCAGCCACATCACACAAAGTTGATTCAGATAATTATATTTATTTAAATATAAATCAACACAGGGAAATACACAATGCAGAAAAATACTTTTTATAATGCAAGAATTCTACAGTTCTCAAAATATTGTTGAGAGAAAAAAAAGACAACTTAAGAATACAGTTATGGTCTCTCTATACAATATATGTCATCTATGAATATACAGTACATTCCAAATACACAGGTTTGCACTTATGGTGACTTTACATTAGGGATAGTAGTGATAGTAGTAGTGATACCAGTTATTATAATAATATTAGCATCAGTATCATTATGATTAAGAATCATATAGAAGTCATCTTTCAGTTTATGAATGGCTGTCGTCACCCAAAATATCCACCTGATATGCTGTTGCTGAAATATAAAGTGCTTATTTTGTGAGATTGTCCTGAACACATCAGGTCTGACGGAACATAAGGAAGTGTTCCTGCAATTTCAGAATTTCTAAAGTAAAAATGAGGAGAGAACAGACATCATCACCCTCACAAATGATACTGCAGTGGTCATTAGAGCTTGCGCTAAAAGTGCACAACATCACCCGTGCTGGACTTGAAGAGGCTAGCAGAAGCTCAGAAATACTTGCAGCCAATCTATTCTGAGACAACCAAACAACAGCAACCTACCGATTAAAACTCCAATTGAGTGACGGATTGACTATTAGTCTGGAGAACAGCTGTAAAATGCAATGACACGACTCAGCGGGCTTGTGCCTCTGAGAGAAGATGATGCAGCACAGTTTTGGCTGCTTGCGCCTCTGTAATAATAGTCGCAGGTATGGCTTTTTAAACAGAGGACTAAATTAATATGGTGTTTTATATAACACCCTTGAGATGAATGAGTAAAGTCTCTCCCAGGGAGGCAGTTTGAGAGTCATACACAAAAAAAGATGGGGGGGAAATGCTCAACAGTGCATTCAAGGTTACATCTTCCAACACAAAAAAGCTAACAGAGACAACTTGACAGGAATGGATAACCAGAGGGCATCAAGTGTCTTATGGTTCCTCTCCCTGTGCCGGTTGTTTCAGTCATGGTCACACACAATGGCTTTCACATCTATAAGAACAATAACACACTCTTTCCATACCCAACTATATCACAACTTTTTTTAAACACAACTTGCATATAAATGAGTTGTTAATATGAGGTAGAACATGAAAGAAAAATGAATGAATGGCAAAAATGTATAATATCATAATTTAAAATGCAGTAAGTGAAACATTTCTTTGTCTTCTGTGGACTATTATATATTAAATTAAAAAGAAAATCATAAAATTAATAATAAATATCTCAGACTTATTTTTAAGTATCTATTTTAGTAAATAGCATTTTTTTCATCCACGAATTTCTAAAAAAAACAAAGGAACTTGACACATTTTATCACTAAATAACATGTCCTCTGTTGTGACACTACATGCTTATTTTAAAGAGCCCCTATTAAGGGTTTTTGAAAATAAGCTTCCATACAGTGTGTAACACAGCAATAAGTAAATGAAAACATCCAGCTGAGGTTTAAATCTGAAAGTGCACCATGATTAAAACTATTGATTCTTTCGAATAAATGAATCTTGTTGGTCTCAGATCATTTGCTTGAATGCATCAACGTCGATACGGTTCATCACCAAATATGTAGTGCTGGATCCGGTAAAACGTGAACGCGCCTTTCCCTTCAGATACTAGCAAAGCTCAGGGGATCAAGGAACTGATTAAGACACGACGATGACAATCACTGAAAGATGAAGATTTTTGGCTGTGGGGAATAAAGGGTTCAAGTTGATTTTCACAACAATACCACAGTAAAGTGAACCTAGTGCTGTATTTGTTCCTGTAATTTTTCAGATTTTTGAAACAATAACCTATGCTGCAATGCGGGACTCATCAGCCATTTGCTATTAAAAGAAGGAGCAGCAGAGACTATTTTGTATGGTACGTTGAAAGGGACTTTGTCAGTAAATGTTACAGTTCATATGGATCAGTTTCTTCTTCCTCCAAATTATAACATGTAAGTGTAATTAAAATTGTTGCCTTGTTTTGTGTTGTTTGCAAAATATGTATTTAATTGTGTGTTGTAACGTCTCGCACTGAACCCAGTTAACCAATCACAACAGACTGGGTCATTGGACCAATCATGGCAGATTAGCCTCAAGCAAAGTAGGGGTTTGAGAACAAAGGAATCTGAACAAATCATATGAGAGTCATTGGGATTATTAGGTAAAAATAAATGCATGCTATAGGACAATGAAAATGTTTTTGAACTTGCATGCAATGCATATCAGCCTGTTGTTGTAGACCCCCAAAACTAAAATATAACCTTTTATAATGCAAAATAGGGACTTTTTTAAATCAGCAATTCCACTGAAAACGTAACCCCATTCAAGATCATGTGACTGAAGCCTAATTATATACATATTTAACTTTGTTCAAATCCCTATATAATTGTTTTGTTGTCCTTTGAAAATGTTCAACATATCTGACAAGTCATAAAGAAATATATATATTATTCTAAATTTCATAGAAAATAAATAGCGCTGTATAAAGATAAGGGCCCAACATTGTTGATAAAACCCTATTTGTATATTAGTAAGATTTGTTTTTCTTAATTTTTCCTATGTCACACCAGAGGACATTTTTACAGTATATCTGTACAGTAAAATGTCAATAAATAAAAAAAACGAAGGAATTGATAGTTAGTGACCTCCTATATTACCCAAACAGCAGTTTTCATATCTATTTTTTCTACAAATGTTTTTTTTACTGCCTATTTGTCTTCCACCCATAAACAGAACCAAACTGACACGTACACCAGGAACAGCGACTGTCAAGACACGTGAAACAAAAAGTGCAGACTATCCACGATTTGGCATTTCAAATCTGTCACCAGAATGGAGCAGCTTTTGACACAGAGGAAAGAGCGAGCAAGCAAATCTTTTTATATTGTGACACTCTCGTAAACTCTCTCGAATGCTGCAATCAGCACTAGATGGAGAATTGTTTTCTCTCAGCAGATAAAGCTCGACTTTAGCTCTGGCCTAATCCAATCATAGAAACGCCGATAAATCAGCCCTTTTCTCCAGAATATATACACAGCCCCGAAAGACACTGTGCTGCTGAACAGAGCGAGTTATAAAATGACAGCGAGTGGAGTTATAACCCATTGTTGTTTCGATAATAAGCCGGAGAGAGCTTTAAATAGGATGTGTGTGCTCTCTAAAGACATTACAGGAGGTCAGGCCACTGTAACTCTGCAGAAGACCAAACCTCCCACACGCCACTAATACATTTTATGGAGTGCCAAAATTTTGGGAGTCAAAGGAGTCAATTAGTGCCAGGGAAAGAGGCGACCTGATTGGAAATAGAGACATGCAGTCACAGCAGTGTGTATCACACATGTGCAGGCTGAAAGATTTCATTGGCTCAAGGTTGCTGAGTGTTGAGGGAGTCTGCTTAAAATACCTCTAGGACGGGCTGGGTGAGAATTGAAAAGTGTGCTTAAAATGGGTCAGCATGCACTGGGACACATGACACGGTTGTGAACAGAGGGAAACAAACTGAGTGAAGGAAAGGGAGATGGAGAAATAATGGAAATTTTGCAGTGACATGTCAAGGCTCAGATAGAGAGGTACAGCTGATTTTCTCTGCTCTCCAAGCTTGTCCAGTTTTCAAAATAGCACACTGTGTATATATATTCTTGTCTTTTTTTGACAAGTAGTCTAACTTAACAGATAAATGATGAGATTATAGCATGATTACAATAAACAAATCTTAATTATACCACTCCAACAGCACTTGTAACTTAAAGTGATAGTTCATCCAAAAATAAAAATTTACTCGTTTGCTCGCTCTCAAATTGTTCCAATGCTTTATGAGCTTCCTTTTTCTGTTGAACACAAAAGACGATATTATAAAAGAATAAAGAAAACCAGCATAAACAATAAATGGCTTTTTTTGAGAAACAGGAAAGAGAGTTTTGGTACAAGTGAAGGTAGAGAAAAATCTGAATTTGCGATTCAGGAAGAACTTACTCCTTAATGAGTAGTTCACCATAAATTAAAAATTAAACATTTATTTGTGACTAAAACTTGTGGTGTTCTCATATACACACACTACTTGACCAAAGTCTTTGTCACCTATCCAAGTTTTTGGAACAACAAATAATAACTTGACTTTTAGTTGATCATTTGGTATCAGAAGTGGCTTTTATGAAAGGCAAAGGCCTCTAGATTACGCTTATTTTAGCAAAATAAAATATGATCATGCCTGGATTTTTAATTAGGACAGTAAGGTCTGACTTTGATTAAACAAAAATCTTGTCTCGTAACAGAAATAATGTATAGTATAGAATATAAAGTCATGGTGCAGTGGGAAAATAATTAGTATTGTGTTTGACTCCCATGAGCTTGGAGGACTGCATTCACACATCTCTGTATTGACTCAAATATCTTATTAATAAAGTCATCTGCAATGGCAAAAAAAAGCGTTCTTGCAGGACTCCCAGAATTCAATAAAATTCTTTGGATTCATCTTCAATGCCTTCTCCTTCACCTTAACCCAGACATGCTCAATAATGTTTATGTCTGATGACTGGGCTGGCCAATTGTGGAGCACCTTGACCTTCTTTGCTTTTAGGATGTGGAGGCTGAAGTATGAGGGGTGTTGTCCTGCTGAAGAATTTGCCCTCTCCTGTAGTTTGTAATGTCATGGGTAGCACATTTGTCTTGATACCTCAAGCTGTTGAGGTTGCTATCCCCTCTGCAGATCTTTTGCATGCTCCATGCTGAATGTAACCCCAAACCATGATTTTTTTTCTTCACCAAACTTGACTAATTTCTGTTAAA